GTGCAAAGGAAGGGAAAGGTATTTCAAAGCACTGCTTCATTTTGGATTAGTGCTGTGGGAAAGTCACATGGAAGATGCCCTGGGCTGAGGGAAGGGGTAGAGCTGTGGTGGGCACTGGGTTTTTCACTGGCATTCTCCCAAAAGCCCACCCTGCCTTCTGGAGAATAAAAAGTGCGAAAACACTGGGACCTTTCAGGGTTGGGTTGGGGTTTTTGGGGTTTTTTTGGATGCAGCAAATTAAAATCATTGTGATGAAAATGAAATTGTGGTGCAGAATCCTAAAGAAAAAGTGACTTACTGTTTTCTTGTTTTAAGCACAGGAGCATGGACTGTCTTGTCTAAGGATTTAGTGTGTTTGTTGCTATATGCTTGGATTAGGTTTATGTAGGGCAGGATTATGCTTTAGCTCAACTTTTGCAGTATTCCAGGAAAAGCAGTCTAGAGATCACTGATAGATGTGTTTCATCTGTTTCCTGGGGTTGCATTTATTTATTAAGTTTAATGATACAGAGCCAAAGCACTGTATTTCTAGAGAGGGGAAAAGAACTGGGCAGCTGTACTGGTTATAGTGAACCTCATATGCAGGTTTTCCAAGGGCCTGAGGAGCTGTGGATTTAGATGGGCAGAAGAAAATTCAAGCCACCTGCTGAGGAAGGCTTGGGGAAGGTGGGATCCTTCATGCAAACAACCCCTTGTCTGAAGCAGACACATGGGAGGAACTCTTGCTCTGCAGTGAACTTTGTAATTAAGCAGTTTCAGGAAATCATGCAGTCTGTTTGTAACCATCTTTTTCTTTTTCCTGTCCTGGGCTCTCTGGATCTACTTGTCTCTCCTGTTAAAGGCTGAGTGCTTTGAAGATGGGAGGCCACCGCTGTGCTGCTCTTGTGCAGAGCTGACAGTGACACTGCTGTTCCCAGCCTGCTGTGGTGGTGCTGGAATAACCCAAACTGCCCTCGGGGAGTTGTGCTGGAGGGGCAGATGGGCACAGCCTTGCAATCAGGTCCAAATCCATCACTGGTGCATGAGATGCCCCTGGGTGTGCTGCCATGTGGAGTGCCAGCCTGGAAGAGTGGGAAGGATTGTGTTACTGTCCTCTGATGATGGTCCAGCCCCTGGCCAGGCTGTAGTGGGGGCTGTGTCATGTGGGATCTAAAAACCAATTTGAGATTCAGAATGGGTGTACATGGATATATCACTTTTCCCCACCCCTCCTTCTGGTAATAGATCAACTTTTTAAAGGTGATGAGATGCCTAGAGATGCAGCTAGATGATCATAGTCTGTTTTTGAAGTACATGTCTGCATCTTCAGGCACTCAGAGATCTTTAAAGTCCCAGGCATTGGAGGTTTGCTCCCAGAGCCACAGTTTGAATCATCACTAGCTGCCTGACCCACGCTTGTGTACCCCTGGCTGCTCTTTGCCTGACTCCAGATAAATGCCTCCCTTGACTTACAGAAATAACTCTCCTCAAAATGGATCAAATTGCAATTAGTTTTAGTCATTTGGATTTCTGCTTCCAGCCTCATGCTTTTATTCCAGCAAAAAAAATTCCGGCTTGCCTTAGTATGAACAGCTTTTGGTTCTTAATGCTGGTTGGTATTCATTTCTCTAAACAAGGAATGCAATTACCCTGTAGCAAAATAACTGTCTCCAACTGTCTTTTTTCCATTAAACAAATGGGAGGTTTTACCTCTTGGTCTTCCCACGAGATTAATGCACTTTCTCTGCAGGAACTGTCTTAAAGTGATCCAGGAATCTGAGCAACTTGCAGACAGCAGCCTAATTGTCACAGAATCTGATTTAGCCAATGCTCATTTTCATTAAGAGGTGATCTCTGCTAATAACAGAGACTAATAGCTCTTCAAAATGAAAAAAACCCCCAAACCTTCCTTTTTCCCTTCACAGTCAGGGATAATGAACTCCTAAATCAGTGCTTTTTCCAAGGAAGCCCTTTTCCCCCCATTTTAACAGAGTTTGACTTGGCAGCTAACTGATGTCAGGAGATGCCTGTGCTTGCAGGGGCAGTGGAGTCTGCCCATCCTTCCTTTATTCTTGCCCCCCAGTGAAAGAATGGAGATTTTTCTTGCTCCTTTATCTTTCAGTTTGTTTCTGAAAGAATGAGATGGGGATTGTCTCTTATTTACTGTTGCTGTACAGGGTATACTGTTCACTGACTGTATCATTGTTCTGCACTGCTTCTGCACAGGAGGAGAGTTCAAAGCTCTGTGTGAAGGTGTAGGACTCAGAAGTTCTTCTGTCTCTGGTGATATGCAAAGAGTAAGGCACGTAAATAGTAAAAACTATTGTCAAAGGATTACAGGAACTTCGTATGTTGCCACAGATTCCCATGGGATCAATATATGAGAAGTGTTGCAATCTCAGTTTTATTGAGAGTCTTATGTACTTGGTGAGCTTTTCTGAAAGGTCTAGAGCCAGCATTACCATCTCTGCTTGAAAACCATCAATTGTAAAATCTTTTTTTTTGGAAGATTTCTGGCCCTCTCAGTGTGAGAGATAAAGCTTGATAAATTCAACTCTAATAGCTCCATCATGGATTGCTTGCAAAAAAACCCTGCACAGTATTAAAAAAGAGAGTTATTTCCCCAGTTTTAGGGAGAAGAGAGGTTCATGGATTTTTAGTGCTTGGGTTTGTGCTGCAGTTTTGGCTGGCTGAGCAATCAGGCTGGTTACCTGCCTCTCCTCCAAACTGGTGCTGCACTAGGCAGAGGAAATAACTGAGAGCACAAAAGGGAGTTTCTTTTTAAAAAGGCCAAAAATGTAACTCCTTGCACAAACAAACCAAAAAGTTTGTAAAAAGTTTTTTATTACCAGCTTGAGTGGCAGAGCAGAAAATCGGCTGCAGATGAACAAAGAGCCACACACACGGCAGGGATGCTCCTGTGAGCAAAGATCCCTTTTCAGCAGGTGGCGTGTGGTGGCCTCCTTTCCTGTTCAAACATTTTAGCCAGATAACGAGGGGAAAAACCCAAATATTTTTCACATAATCAACTGAGTTTGGAAGGGGGGAGCAATAGGAGAAGAGGAGCTGTGGTGCTGGCTGACATGGCTGTCAGGAGCAGTGGGACAGGGCAGGCCCTGTAGCTCAGGTCTCTGCTCTTGGCCACTTGGCTGCTGCTGGAAGCTGCTGTTAATGCACAGGCAACCTGGTTTCTTGCTCTAAGGGAAGCCAATGCATGACTGCCAGCAGCTGTTGGGGTAGGGAGGGTAACCAGTAGCAAATTGGGGTTTCCTATCAGCACTGATGGGGAAATGAAGCGCAGAAGGGTGCTGGTGACTGACTGCTCCGGGGCGGTGTGTTTATGTGAAACAGATGGTTCTGAGCTGCAGTTTGCCAGCAGATTATGGAGCTGGCTTTGAACCATCTTGAGTGGTTTCCCAGGAAGGCAGGGATCCCATCCACAGCAGACTGCCGTGAGCACGTTACCTGGGGGAGAGCTGGCAGCAGTGCACTCGTGTGGAAGGCAGCTGCATGCTGGGCTGCTCCGTGACATCCGCAGTGCCCCGTGGCACCAAAGACACGCTGAGGCTCCGGTGCCAGCGAGAAGCCTCAGCCCTGGGTGGGCCAGGGTATGTTGCAGGTGCCTTTTGCACATTTACCTCCAGTGTTGAAAAAGGAACCTTGTGGTGGGTTTTCTGAGCTTCAAGGTTCCTCTTCCAATGTGCTGCTGCATTTGGGAAAGAAATAAGGGGTGGTTGTAGCTGTTGGGAATGTGGGCAGGGAGCAGTTGGATCAGCATTGTCCTGCTGCTTCTCTGGGAATTGCCACCTTCCCTTATACTCCAAACCATCCCTGTTATCTGACTCTGCAGTTCTGCCAGGCATGAGGTGACAGAGAGAAGGTAAACCAAGATATTAGGAAAAACCTCCTGGTGAGAGAGACTAAGATTTACACCATCTTTTTTTTCTGTTTATAGGGAAAGCGGGCTGCCAGCAAACTGAACATTGGGATTAAGTCTTCTCTGTACAGACCCTTGTCTTGAATGGGGCTGAACTAAAATTTTTGTTCACTTTGTATGGAGAGGGACAAAAACTTCTTTGTAACTTAAATGTAACTTAAGAGCTGTGGACAGGAATAAATGGATAAAGTTTTCAGTAACCTATATTTATACTATCATGTACAACTTCTAAACCTTCACAGCTACTGAAAAATTCAAGAATGTGGTCACTGAGAATGGGAGTTATTTGGTACTACATGGTTACTGGAAATTATTGATTGGAAAAGCACCAGCTTTTTATAAAATGCCATAAAAATAGACATTTCAGATGGATGGAAATGGGATCTGTAGAAGCATGCTGCCTTCTCTGCAGACAAGCTTTGTGATAACTCTGTAGCAGTTTTCCAACAGGACAATGCAAAAGTATTTAGATGCTTTAAATTCCAGCTTATGCTGGACAGTGTATTTACAGTGTATAATGCTATTCTCTCTTCACTCTGACTTTTTTTTTTTTTTTTTCTTTTAATCACTTAAAATAAGGTGATCTCTCTATTGTACAGAGGCTGGAACAGCAGCAGGAAAATGTGGCTGAAATAATGGGATCTATAAGAATAGGCAATTTCACTCAAGTATAGTGATTTAGTGCCCTGTTAGTGTCCTGATGTACAACTGCATTTCCAAAGACAGTAAGTTTCTTCACTAGCATAATGACAGGCTTGAAACTTGTGAGACAAATACCCCAGCTTTCTCTATCCTCAGCTGTTCCACTTAATTACAGGAGTAAGGGAATTTTGTTCTCTCCTAGCGGATTAGCTCCAAGAAGAATAAATCAGATAATGTTACTGCCTTTTTCCCACTCTACAAGGTGAGAGCCCACATGGTGCAGTGCAAAGTTGGGGCTGGTAATGTTTTTTCTTGCCTGCAGTCTGTGACACAGATTTGATTCCAATTTTGGTGTCACCAGGACTATTTCTTAAAGTGGTTTGGTTCAGTTGTTTGTGGCTTTTGGCACTAATTTCAGCTTCTGTGTTTGCTCTGCTCACAGATGATGGCCCTTACTCAAAGGGGAGCAAGGACTCTGCTGGGATGGACGCAGCCCTGGTCTCCAGGAGGCAAAGCATCCCAGGTAAAGGTGGGGATCAGCTCCTGCTCCAAAACATTGGGGCATCCATTACGCTTTACCTGGATATCCCTAAAATGGGTAAAACCCCTCAAAACACTAATTTTGGTGCATCTATCAGCAAGGCTTTTGCTGGAGGGCAGAAATTGATGGTGATAACTGGTCTCAGTGAATGGTGTATTACAGGTACAATCCTTGTCTTGTGTGGTCCTGTTGACAGTAGTTACAGGGAGCTGGGAAAGGACTTATTGCTGTGCTGGACTGACACTCTCAAAGGAAAAAAATAGCAGCAAAGGAGAGAGGGAAGAAACACTGCTGTAGCTGAGCTCATCAGGCAGGGAGGGAGACTGGCAATGACTGGCAAGCTTTGAATTTCCCACATGTGACTAAGTTTGTTTTGCTATTTAGTCAGTCACAGCACGTTTTTGTGTGAGATAAACCTTCCCATGCAGAAACACCCCAGGGGCTGAAGAGGAAGTGAAGTGGTAGTTCATTTTCCTCTGTTGGTCCTGGACTTCATGTGCCAGCAGCACTCCAGCAGTCCTGGATGGGCTGCCTTGGACAACTCATCTCCTTCCTAGGAAAGCCAGGGGCTTCATTTTAACTTCTGGCTGCTAATGACCCAGTCACAGGCTTGATTTAGTGCATTCTAGGTAATGGGAAGGAAGTGAGGCCCTTCTGCTATTGCTTCATCATTCAGCACTTGCTTCAAAGGATATTCTGCATCCCATTACCACTGTAGAGCAGCCCTGATGGGAGAGGCTCACAAGAGCAACCCCAGCTCAAGGTATCTCAGTGGGGAAGGAAAAATTAATGTGTTTTCTTTCTGCCCTGGGATGCAAAATCCAGTCATATATGCCAGCAGAAGAAATCCAAGACTGCTCATATATGGTGCCTAAAGACTATGTCTTGAAGGGCCAGATCCTCCTTAACCAGCTCAGTTTACCCTGTGTGGGGCTGTGACAGTGGCAGTAGGTTTGTAGAGGCAAGGGTCAGAATTCCTTATCGCTGACCTTGATCAGTTGATCTCAGGGACTTGCCTTTTTTGGAGCAGTGATTTCTCTTTGAACCTATAACAATGGGTAATTGCACTCTGGGACTTCTCATTTTAAACACTTATCAAGGATCAAAATTAAACCTCATTGAAAAGCTAATAATCTCCCCTTGTGGCACCATCTGTGTTGATCAGTCATGTCTGTAGCTGAGAGGAAATTTGCAGGATGGTGCCGGATGTTGTTCTTTCCAGCACGGTGGAGAGTCTCCCCAAGTTTCTGGCAGTCTCAGGGCTCCCAGGTTGGTGAATTGAAAATTAACTTACTGCAGTTGGCAAGGGATCAAAACTGAGTTTAAAGAGCAGAAGTATTATGGACCTGACATTTTTACAAGGAGCCTCCAGTGCCACATTAAACGGGTGCCCAGCAGTGCCTAAGCGCCTGCCAGACTGGAGTTAGATTGCAAAGAGGTTCCCTACTCGCATTAATCAAGTGCACAGATTATTCTTGGAAGTGCTTTACAAAACAGGTAGTGCGTGGCAGGACTCTAAGTGAGGTGCAATTTCTGGTGTCCTGGTGGCTTTGAACAGGAGCAAAGTGCTGGTGATGAGGCACCACAGTGCCAAATGACCCCATGTTTTGGATGGATGGAGGAGGCCCTGCACCAGCGTGGATCTTCTGTGTCAATGTGCTGTTTAAGGGGCACTGCCTTGCTCTGGAAGTCAGTGTGCAAGAGGTTTTAAATGTTCCCTCTCCAAACAGAGCATATGTAAGCCTGGTAAGGTTTGCTGTGCAAACAACATCTGGGCCATTTTCAGCATGGGGTTTTTGTCCACATCTGTGGGGCTGCTGTTGTGTGCTACCAGTGCCCATCACCACCTTCTCCTCATGGCCTTGGAGAAAGGCACCTTGTGTGAGGATGACTGGCTTCCTCCTGTAAAATCATGGAAGACTTCAGTGCACTGACATAGTGGAGGTGGATGGATAATGCTATAGACAAATGGTGTAGAAGCTTCTGAGAGGAGGCTCTGACAAGGTGTGGATGTCATCCTATTTGCCCTGGGGCTAGTTCCCCTTTGAGGGGTGTGAGGTCTGTTGTGTGCAGTATTGCAGAGCTGCCTTTTGCCAAGTCTTTGAAGCTCTTGGTCTTTTCCTTAGGCCAGGACTGACTGTCCTGCTTACTTACTGCCCTTTCCACACCAAATCCAAGAGCTGGAATAATTTAGGGGCCCTGTTTTCTGTAAAACCCAGACATGATCTGTGATGAGATCAAAACTGACACCAGGTAGGGCTTATGTGTAGGTGCTGGACAGCTAGGAGTGTTGTCTTGGACTAGAGAAGGTAAAATGTGCACTGCCTGCAGCACCCAGAGAAGCAGTACTGGTGCAGCAGGTGTGGGGTGAGCATCCCCCAGACCTGGACCTGTGTTTGATGGCAGGTAGTGCATGTGGAACAGGTCATGGTGTCAAAGTGACTCGTGTCTTCAATTCCAGCTGTAGATGAGGTGGTAGTGGGGAGTTTGACTTGGACTAGGTACAGGTGGGTGGACAAAAAGCTGTGAATGAATGAAGGTTGTGCCTCCCCCTCCACCCCCTGATGATGGCAGGATCCCACCCCTCTCTACACCGTGTTCTGTATCTCCCAGCTATGTTAATGTCTCATGATAGTTTTTTTTTATCACTGTATTTTAAGGTCCATCCAGGCAGCTACTGCAGGTCTACATCTCCTGAACCTGGATGCAGGAGCATCCTCCTCCTGTGTAACTGTGACTCCCTGGCAGCTCTGTTAATGCCCTCCCCACTCTGTATCAAACACAGTTCCTGAGGTGGTCCCCCTGGACCATTGCTGAGCTCCCATCACCCTGGTCTTGAAGTTTTCTACTGCCTCCAGCACCTTGAAACACAATGTTTTTACTCTCTCATAAGCCCTTGCTACTCTGCCTTGTCTTCATTGGTCCTGCCTGCCAGACCTGCATGCAAACATGGCTGTGGGTCTACCAGGACACATTTCTACTTTACCACTTAACTTCAAATAAACAGAGGCTTTTTCTTCATGCTAGTTGTTCAAATCATCCCAAGTCTATTTTCCCACCACCTGTACGAAAAGGATGTCTTTGGGATTGAGAGGAATGTGACTTCCACTGAGTTTGTCTTTATTCCTGATCTTTCAGAGGAGTTCAGAGGGGTCACAATCGTGGAGCTGATTAAGAAAGAAGGAAGCACTCTTGGTTTAACCATTTCAGGTGGCACAGACAAAGATGGAAAGCCAAGAGTCTCCAATCTGAGGCCAGGAGGACTGGCTGCAAGGTGAGAAATGGAAATGGGGTGTGGAGAGCACAGCAGGAATGGAGAGGAATAGTTCCTTGTTCCAGCTACTGAATGGAGTTATAATTAAAGTAGTTGGCACCCGAGACCCTTTTTTCAAGTGCCCCAGAATGCAAAGTTTTTGCTTCAGGAAGTAGAACATCTTCTATTTTGAGTTATTTCCTATGCTCTGTGCAATTATGCTCTGAAATTTTGTGTAGGGATATTTGGGATTCTGTGAAATTAGGCAGCCTTGTCAGGAGAGCTGCATGGTACAATACATCTTGATCAAGCTAAGTGGTTTAATATTGTATCTGTTCTTAATACTGAGTGTATAAGTAGCATTATTGGCTCAGAAAAAAAATGGGCAAAGAAAGGCTCCAAGAAGCAGGAAAAAGGAAAGAGTAATTGAACAATTTTGCAGAAAACAGGCAAAAGGAAAGTTGTTTTCTCCTTCCCTGCTGGATTTTTTTCAGACAGCTCTTAGTGTGCTTTTCTTTGACTGATTGCTCTACGTGAATGGGAACTGAGCAACAGCAGAGAGGTTGTGAACATGTACACCGTGATTGTTGCTGTATGCACAGATCTGAACATTTGCCACCAGGAAAGATAGATGGCTTCCATTTTAGCACTTCCCTCTGATAGCAGACACATGTAATCAGACAGCAGACATCAGTCCAGCATTGCTGGCTTGTTCGGAAAGTCCTACACTTACCAGTCAGCTGGAGACTTTGTGCCACCACTGCTTTTAATTTTATTTCTTTGCAGGAGTGACCAGCTGAACGTGGGGGATTACATCAAGTCGGTGAATGGCATTAACCTGACCAAGCTGCGGCACGACGAGATCATCAGCCTGCTGAAGAACGTGGGCGAGAGGGTGGTGCTGGAAGTCGAGTACGAGCTCCCACCGGCCGGTGGGTGCCTCTTGGACAACACTGCTCTCTCATCTTGGCTCTTTTCGTCCTGGAGTGCAGATGGACTTGCTAGTGCAGAGCTGCTGTGGCCAAGCAGTGTCCAGGGGCATTTTGCCGTTGCCTTCATCTGCTCGCGCGGGCGGTGGAGGCTGCTGAGCTGTGTGCGGTCGGAGCAGAGCACTTTTTCCAGCACAGTGGGTGCCTGCTCATGCACACTGGCAGGGGATGGCTGATTAGGTCTGTCTTGCCTTGGAGTGACTCGACAGCACAGGCCAATCTGCCTCCTAATGCTGCTTTAGCTTCTTTATTTCCCTTTTGGAGTGCGGCTACGGGAGATTTAATTCAGTCTTAAACATGTATTACCAGATGCCCTTTTCTGAACTGTGGCAAGTGCTGTTAGTCCTCAGGATTCTTTGAAGTGTTTCGTGTTTTTAGAAGAGAAATTGAAGCTATCATCTTTCCAGCTGAGGGATGCTGGCAGAGGATGGCAAACCCAACTAACAGGGTTTGTGTCCTGTCATGGGAGACTATATGCTCTTGCCCCCATTTGTTTTGATAATTGATGTTTCTGGTTAAAACAAATTCCTTGATACAGTTTCTCATCACAGTCTTTCCATTGTGAATACAATCTCCCCAGTTATTACTCATTCATTTACCCAGATCAATCAGATGATGATTGGGCAGAAGAAATAGAACAACTAAAAATAAAATGCCAGGAAAAACAAAACTAATGAAATCTAACATTTTGCCCCAGATAGGAAGATATTTTACACTTCAGAGCTTTGCTGTAGCTGCTGCTTTTAGATGAAAAATATTGAATATAGAAATGACTGTGTAAAGCCCAAAAGAGTAAAATCTAATCTGGAATGGATGAATCTGTATCCATCATTCCCCTCTCTTCTGCTGTAAATGTTAGTGGACTTTTGCATACACCTTTGGTAAAGCCAGCAGTGGCTCAAGTCTTGCATGATCTCATGGAAGACTTGTTCTTATGCTCCCTAGAGATGACCACTTTTAACTTTTCTCCATGGTATTCCTTATTCTCCATGATATTCCTTATCAGGAATCTGATAAACTGTATTTACCAGCCAAGGAGTGGTGCCAGCTCAATCAATAGCAGCAATGTGAGATGTCCTCTGCTTTAAATGAGCAGGAAGAGCACACTGAGATAGTGACTTCTCTCCAGGGAGATTATTTGGGCTGTTTATGAATGATCCAAACAAAGAAGCATTGCAAAATACAGGGAATTGTCAATTATTTCCTGATTCCAATTCATTGTGGGCTTTTATCTGCTGTGAGGGTTTGTTATTGCTGTGTATGCTCACCCCTCTCTCTGTCTTTCCCTGAGCAAAGAGCAGAAATACTGTGCAATTCAATAGCTTGTGCTTATGGGTTTGACTTTTTCTCCCCACTTCGTAATTTCCTGCTTTGAAAGAGATCTTGCAAGTCCAAGTCTAGTTTTCAGGCTACTGTGTCATGTCATCTCTTTCATAAATAAACCAAACCCTGTGTTAGCACTGGCTTAGGTTTCCCAGCTCCCACTGATCTTATGAGAGGCTGTTGCAGCCCTTCATACTTCAATGCTTAGGACAGAAATTGGACGGATTCTGAACTCATTTGTGGATACTTTATACCCTTTCCTTGGTATTTGTGTATCACCCCTTGGCTGGGAGCCTTCCCCTGCCCTGAGCACTCCCTTCTGGAGTATTTCTAGGCTGTGTCCCTGTTAGCTGTCTGCACAGCAGCAGGAGCAAAGTGGGGATGGTGTTTGGAGATTTATTTGGTCTCACTGTAGCTGGTCCCCAGGGCTGTCTGCCTGCAGGCATACAGTGCCTCCATGTCTTTTGGGTTAGCCTAAGGGCTGGGCTAAGCCTAATTTGGCTGCAGGTTGCAAGCCCTCAGAGTGCTTGGCAGTCAGGATGAGTGTGATCAGTGAGGACAGAGGAGAGGTTTGCTTCAGAATTCCTCTCCTGAGCAAAGAGAAATGGCAGAATGGATTTGTCTAGGACAGCCTTCATCTCCAAGTCAAGTTCTTGGTCTTTTATTTTCTGATTATCCTTGTGGCCATTTGTGGCACTTGGTTTGAAAATTAGGAATTTTCAGAGTGGACAAGGCTGAAATGTCATGTGCAGTTCTGGGTGGGGAAGACTGGGAAATTGTCTCATATTCACTGCAGTAGTGCAATAAATCATTAAATAATAGGGGACATCAAGAAATGAAAACAATTTCTTTCCTTTTCTCTTTACTTTGTACATTTTGTATTTTGTACAAATAGTACTGTGTATTTAACATAAAAATACTGAATTGCCCCCAGGATCAGTTTAAAGGATTCACTTAATCTTTTTTAAAATCCAAAATATGAGAGGTAAGGGAAAAAACCCAACTTTATGCGTCAAGGATTTGGGATTTTCATTTTCTTTAAGGTCAGCTGGTGACTTGATTCCTTATGCTGCTGCTGTTTTTTTAATAAGTTTCTATCTGTGGCAGAAGCTTTTGAGAAAAGCTGAATGCATTAAAGCCAGTTGATAAACGAGATGGTTTTACTTGAATGTCAGGGTATTAACCAAGACAAATTTAAGGGGAGATGCACAACACTGAGCTGGTGAAATCATCCTAAAACCTGATGGTAGGCTCTGATAAACGTTCACATGTCTGGGTTGGGCTCTTTTTGCTTCCAAGCAGGGAAAATTAAATACGGGTTTTGGGCTGGGCTTTAATTTCGGTGTTGTTTGGATGAATTTTGATACTATTTTGCACTGTGGTTGGAAAAGGTTTATCAGGGGTAACTGGGTCTTTCTCTCTTACTTTTAGTGCCAGAAAGCAGTGCTGGCATTATTCCCAAGACCATTGAAGTATCCCTCTACAAGGAAGGCAACAGCTTTGGCTTTGTGCTGAGAGGTTAGTTGTCACCCTGAAAATTAAAAACCTTCTGATAATGTTTTCATAGTTTTAGTTACTTTCTCATGAAAGTTCTATAAACATAAGTTGTTTATCACATTCCTTCTAAGAAATGTCTTTTGATGGACGTTTTGTATGACCAGTGTGCTTGGGAAGGTGGTAACTTGATTATCCAATCCCTGGTCAGTGTTGAGAATCTATAAATACTGGAGTCAGAGAATAAAGGTTCAGCTTTTTCTGTTCTGACGCTGAGAGGCGTTTGTGTGAATCCTTACATGTCCTTTAGTGGCAGTTAGTAGCTTCTCCAGTGAAAAGCAGAAGCAGAGGTGGAAAGTGGGAAAAGAAGGTGAATGACAAAAACCTCAGCTAAGCAGAGAAAGCATGTCCTGGAGGGGATCCCCTGCTGCCTCTAAGGACTGCCGGCTGCCTAATCTAGGGCAGTCATTTTCCTGGCAGGCTGTGTCAGCTGTTATGTGATAAATGTCTCTTTCCCAGCGCTCCACCTGCCTTCATAGGCCTGGCCAGCAGCTGTCCCTGCACTCCTGAGGGTGTCCCCTTCCTGTCCTCCTCCTGGTGCCTCTCTGGGGCTCCTCGTGCTGGTGGTGTGGATGCCAGTGGTGCCTGGGGAGGTGGGCACGGTGCTCCCAGCACAGATGTGGTAGTTAAAGGCAGAAACTGCCTCTCCCCATCATTAGCCCTGTGCAGCTGAATCGCTGGTGCTGTGCTGAAAAGCAGGAGCCAGTCTATCTACTCTCATGCTGGTAATTTAATATGATGGGCCTGGTACTATAAATAACCCAGACTATTGTCCCAAGGAGTGTTCTTCCATCCTACAGGATGAGAGTAATTGACCTCCTAATATGTGTGTGTATATATATACACACACACATGCATGGTGTGTTCACACACAAATTATATATGCTCATATATTTACATATAGATAATATAGATATACAGTAAATACATATGTATAACTATAGATATTTATATAAATATATATAGATATTTGTCTAAATATAAATATACATACATAAAGAAGAGAATTGCCTTTGGTTTCTTACAGGGAAGGGTCCTTGAAAATTGGGGACAGGCTGCTGAGTGTGGATGGGATTCCTCTGCACAGCATGACCCACGCTGATGCCCTCAACATCCTGAGGCAGTGCAGCCAGGAGGCACTTTTCCAGATCGAGTATGATGTGACCATCATGGGTAAGGACAAGATGGTTGTGATGGCATTTTTTTCTCTGTCTGCCTGGAAAGTATGTGAACTAGAGACAGTAGCTGGGATACTCAGTTTCAGTGGAAAAATCGCTGAGCAATGTGCTGCCAGCATGGATGTAAGGGGTAAAGTTCAAAGCTGGCTTCGTTAAATGCATTTGAAATGCCCTTGTGCAGTGATGTGTCTTGATAGGAATGATGAGTGGCTCTACAGGAGAGGGCAAAAGGGGGTTTTCTAATGTAGGCAGAGAGGGTACAGAAGAAGTCAGAGCTAAAGTGGGCTGGAGTGCTCTGCCAGCACTGCAAATAGCACTATTAAATGTGCACAGAGGAGTGAGCTGCATGCAGACAGAGACTTGCTGTGGCTTTGGTTCTGAATTTTGACCCTGCTTAATTTTGGAGCTATTCCTTTTCTTAGAAATGTTACTTCAGATCTGCTTCTGAAATAAATGAGGGGTGATCAAATGCTTGACCCCAAATAAGACAGAATTTACTGGAGGGCAGAGGATGAGTATTTCTAAAAAGCATTTTACACAGTCTGAGGGTTTGGTGGTGGTTGTTGTTTTTTGAGTTTAAGGTTACCACAGAATTTGAAGCTCTGTTGGTTCTGGAAGCTTGTTGAGCTGTGTGGTAGATTGTGATGTTTCATATACATCTCCAGAGGGGTTTCTGCCTCCCTGAAGCCATAACCTGGACTAGGTTGGAGTCTTTTCCACAAATCTCACAAACCAGTCCAACATGCCTGAGCCTAGGATTCAGTGAGGAATAGGAGTTTGTGAGGCTGTTTCCTGTTTTTTCTGTGTGGAGGAAAACAAAAAGAATCCAAAGCTGAGAAAGTCTGATGCCATGTCACCCCTGAGGAAAGAGAGCTGAGAAAACCAGAACTCAGCCATGCAATGTGCACCAGGATAAGCGAGCTCCTTGTGACAGCCCTGAAGAGCTTTCTGCTTCCTGTTGAGTCTCCTGAGCAAAATCTTTCCCCTTCCTTTTGGTAGAAGCTCCACAAGCATGGACATAGTGGCTCTTCCCTTGAGGGGGTGGCTGCCAGGAGCTGGGCAGAGTGTGCCATACAGACAAGTTCTCCATGGAAGAGCTGGAAGGGAAAGCTGATGCCTCAGTGGTTGCCTGCATGCTGCCTGGCTTCTCCCACATCCCACAGGAGCAGCTTCTCTTTGGAAAGTGGCTGTTGCTCATAATAAGGAGGAAACACTTAAACCATGAGAAACAGAAACTACCCAAAACCTATTTTCTACCTTTCTATGATTTTTGGGGTACCTGGGCAGTAAGGGATGTCTATTCCTCTCCTTGAAGGCTGCTCCAGAGAAGGGAGCAAATGGAGGTAAGGAGGGATTTTGCATGGAGCTGTCAAGTCTGGACAATAGTAAACAATTAATTGTGCGTGGGAAATGGGCCTTTTGAGAGGTTTATTCTTTTTGCAGTCCATGGTGTCTATGTTGCAGAAGGCTGATTGTTTTAAAACCTGACTTGGAGCAAAAATGGCCATGAAGGTGATTTGGTGTCTTGGTGTTTCTTCTCGAGTAACTCTCTCACCTAGAACTGTGAGGGTTGAGTGAACATGGAGAGACAGCAGAGTTTTATGCAGTGCCTATCCATCTTGTGTTGCTAATCTCTGGACCAGAACTAGCTACTTCCCAAAAATGTAAAACCTGCCCCTTTCTTACATAACTTCTGCCAAAAGAGTGCTCTCTGCAACCCCGTAAAGGAATATATTTGTCCTGCTTTTCTTTAAGGCAAGATGATACAGAACATGTAGCTTACAACAATCTCTGCAGGCAGTTTTGCCAGGCACCAGCTAATAATTGCAGTGGGAGATGAGTACATCATCCCCAGTTCACAGCTATTACAGCCCCTGGAAGATGATGAAGGAAGGGAGGAGCTGGTGCTGAAAGTGGTCTGGTAATATTTTCAGCCTAAAAGAAAGACTCTTAATTCCCATTTTGAAAACCTGGTGAAGGGGCTGGGGACAACACAGTGAAGTGGTGCTTTTCCTGTTTATCCTCAGGAAAATAGAGGTTTTTACATGGTGCTCGCTCTCTGCTGCAGCTGTGTGTGCTGGGGTGGTATGGGCTGACCCTTGAGGAGGGAAAGTTGTTTTTCTGTATCTGTTGTTGGTGAGAGACCAGGGTTGCTGCGGGGGAGCATTGAATCATGGCATTCCCCAGCTGTCTCTGTGGTTTTTCAGCCAAAATTGTGCACTGGGGATGATCTGCATGGGGCCAACCCTGCCCTTGGTGTGAGGGATGTGGCAGCTGCCTGCCATCGCCACTGAGCATCCCCTGGCTGTTGGGATTTCACCAGGGAGGCTGGTGTAGGATCAGACCATGGCAGGCTTTTTGTCAGGTTGGCTGAGATTTCTCAAGGCCACCGAAGGAATTAAAATAATCTGCTATTTCCATTTAAAAGGAGTGCCAACTGGGCATGGACCCTCCTGGGGCATTGGGAAAATCTCTGCCCATCTGATGCCAGATGATTTCTGCAATGAACAGATGCTTTCCCATGGCTGTGCTTTATCTTACGGGCCTTTTAAAAAACAGGGGAGAATGAAAAATAAATCACCTCAAATAAACTGACCAGCCAGAAAATAGTATTTGAGTAGTTACTTTGTAAATAATCTGTTTGCCATGTACCAAGAATCTGGGCTGCAAGCCTTTAGGGTTGACTCACAAAGGGGGGAAGGTTGCTGCCAGAGATGATGGATGAGCAAAATGGTTTGCTGTGTCCTTTTCCTCCTCTCCCTTCTGCTGGCTGCCCCTCCACCCATTCATTTTTGGGCTGAAGTTTCTTAAGCCTGTGGAGCTCTCTTGCTGCCAGAGGGGAGGGCTGGTGGTGTCCCACAAGTGGGTGACGTGTCAGTGTCTGCCGAGCAGTGGCAGGGGCTGGAGCCTGAAGAGGGGCCCAGGATGTCAAATGGTTCCTGTAAAATACATGCCTGTAATGCTGCAGGGGACAAAAGCTGCTGGGCTGTGTCAGGAAGGGTTTCCCCAGTTTGGTTCTTCTAGGAGTTTTTGGTTTATTTTGTTTGCATAAGCAAGGGAGGTCCCTTTCCCTTTCCTTCCCCCTTTGCCCTTCCCCTTTTCCCTTTCCCCGCTCCCCCCTCCCCTTTCCTCTTTCCCCTTTCACTTCTTATTTTCCCTTTCCTTTTCCCTTTCCCTTCTTCTCATTTTCTATTCCTTCTCTCTCACAAATTTCAAATTTCCTGCATTGCAGCAGAAAAAATTCATCTCTACCTTTACACTTGGCTTATTCCCCAAGCAATTGCACCTTCCAGGCTGGTTACAAGAGCCATTAGAGAGGTGGTCAAAGTCAAGTGAGGCTCAGAAACCTAGTGAAAGAATAAGTACTTCCTTAAAAAGCAGCTTCTGAGAGAAAGATCTTCCAGAAAACCCCTGTTTTGAGTGGTGGGGTGATCACCTTTCCCATATCTTCAGCACTGGGGTGAGTGAGAACCTGGAGCAGGCTCTGTTTCCCTTTTATCCATCACAATATTGCCCAGTACCCTGCATGCATATGGGTGTGAGCAGGTGTTGCACAGCCCTTTGTGTCCTCCTGGGAGGTTGTAGCTGTGCATGATGGTGCAGAAACACCTTCTGGTGACAGTCAACAATGCCAATTGACTCCTTACAGTAAGGTTTTTGCATGCACAACTAAACCCACCACACATGGCTTGCTTTGTCCCTTCCATGTTCTTTTAAAATTAGCTTGGGTGTAATAGCTCCATGGTAATCACACACAAATATTGCTGGATTGCTGACTCATGACCTTTGATTTGAGGCAAATCTCCTCCTAGAATAATTAACAGAGGCTTGGCTGGTATTTCCTCAATAAATGCCTCTATAAAATGGATTTGGAGCAATTCTTATCTGTGATGGAGATGAGAATTAAAAGGGACAGTGAGGTGGCCTGTGCTGTGTGCGGTAGGAGGAGTGACCATGGGCTGGAGGCAGGACTGTGGTTTCCCACAGTCTTACAAATAACCCTGGTCCTGAGTTCCTGAGGCTCTTTCTTCTCACCATCATCATGCTGAGATCTCACCTGGCAAAGCTGAGAAACTTGGACTCTGGGTAAACTGGAGAGGAGTAGGTATTTTCCTTGCAATGAAAGGTCCAGCAAGTCATTTTTATTTTCCTTATCTTCTTCCTTTCAGTTGGAGGGACATAAATCCATGTCCCTCTTCAGAGGAAATGTGCTGGACATACACAGCCTGCAAAACTGACATATACCTGATGTTTGCTGTTGGAAGAGATCCTCAGTCTCTTGGTGCTTCCTTTGCTAACAAATGCTTAAGTACACCTTCAGCAGGCTTTAGCTGGGTGCTTTGTGTATCTTTTGATTAAACTGGGACTGTGCTTTTTACCAGGGCCTGCTGATGTCCCCAGTGGTCCTTTTCATCAGAGAATAAACAGTGTTTTATGTGAAGCCTGCATAACCTTTAACGTGGCTCATTCCTCCTGCTTCCTCCCCTGTGAAAAATGTCACTGTCAGTAGACCAGAGCCTGAACATCCCTTGGATTATCCCCAAGGGGAATTTCCAAGGTAAATTTCTGTCTCCAGAGACTCAGCATCTTCAACAAATCTCAGAAAAGACCTTGCTGAAGCTTAGCTTCCCGGATCTGCATTAATACTCCCATTTATCAGAGAGCAAGAATGAGCCATGCATCAGGTTTGGAGCCAAGTAGCATCAGCAGTTTTAGTGGAGCACATCTTTGGAAGGGAAAAGCCTTACTATGAATAATTAAGGGCTGAGGAGGCATCAGGTGCTCAGAGGGCTCTGCTGGCCTTTCCTTTGAAGTGGATGTCTGGGTCTTCATGAGTGCTTTCCTGGGGCTGTCACCTACACGGGGGGGTGCTGGTTATTGGATGTGTGATGGTGATAACACATTTGTGAATCCCACCTCTTTGAGATGGCTTTAGGTAATCTGGAAGCAAATGTGTGTAGCAGAGCTGGAGGGAATTTCTGTCTAATCAGCCAGAAACACAGGCTTTCTTTGTCCTCCCCCTTCCTCAGAAGAGATGGATAGGTTTGGTGCAGGCTTATGCTAACAGGTGCAATTTCGTAGGAGTTCTGTAGTCTCACTTCTATTAATCTCTGCTTATTGCAGAGATGCATCTTTTAAAAATGAGTTGCCCCTGTATTGTCTGATGGGAGAGGAGGCTGTTGTGAGCAGGGGGTTGGCAGATATGTGTCTGCTCCCACTGTCACACTGGAGGAGCTCAAACAAGCAGTTGAGGTGGCATTTTGAAACTGGTGCTGAAGCACAGAGGAGTTGACTGGTATGTCATCAGCCATGAGACTTCTGAGTACTTCAGAATGTGATATCCTTTTCCTTGTGCTTTTCTTTTTGGTTTGTTTGGGAAAAAGCCAGTAACAGTGATGTCATTATGATCTTCCTTTTTTGTGCTTGTAACACCATTGATGTGACTGTTGCAGAGCCTTTGAGCAATCTATTCCTCAATATTGCTATTTAATCCAAAGAAAAGAGAGAGGAGAGTTCTTTCCATGAGTGAATTGTTGTATGATCATTAATTAGTCTTCATTATCATGTAGATTTTGTGCATAGGCAATTTTGCTTCTTGAGTGTTCTTCTTTGTTGAGTCACCATGTGACATGGACCATAGATGTCCAGGCTAAAGATTTGCTGCTTCACATGGCAAGTCAGCACTGTTGGCCAACCCCTGCATTTAGAGATGGAAAGGGCTGTATGAGAAGTGTCTTCAGGTGCTCTCTTGTTTTGCAGATACTGTAGCAAATGCTTCTGGTCCCTTGCTAGTTGAAATAGCAAAGACTCCAGGGTCTACGCTGGGAATCACACTGACCACAGCCATGCATCGGAACAAGCAGGTCATTGTCATCGACAAGATCAAGCCAGCCAGCGTGGTGGACAGGTACAGACCTGAACAGGCTGCTCCTAGCTCTGATTTTTCTTTCCCTACTGCTTTTTTGTCCCCTTTTAGTTATAAGCCATTCTTCTCAGTCTTGCCTTGAAATCTTCATGTCCACATATTCTTAGAACTGTTTGTGCTAAAAATATCTGATCCACCAGCAGTGGACACTCCTCACCAGGAATGCAGGTAACTCAGAACATGGGAAAGCTGAGCTTTAAAAACCTCAGGTCTGACTGCCCTGAAGTTGTGAAATGGTTAAGGCCTATTATGAAAACTTCTGACTTTTCCTGACAGACAAGGCAGGAAGCCCTTTACGTAGGGATGCACAGACAGACTGCTGTGCAGCACGAGCTGTGTTCAGTCCTGTTGCTGAGCTGAACTCCTGGCTCCCAGGACTTAACCACACCGCTGGATGAGCCCTTAGCCTTCCAGACTGGCTATGAGAGGGCACTCTTGCAAACTTAAAAGATTTTTTGTGAAGCCACCAACAGCACTGGCTCAAACATGAATGTGTTGGTTTTGCATGGGCTGTTTTTTGGTAGCAGGGAGCCACAGAGGTGGCTTCTGTGGGAAGCTGCTGGAAGCTTCCACCATGTCTGGCAGAGACAATCTCTGATGGTTCTTAAGAGGGACATGCTGCTGCCCAAAACTGGGCCAATTAGAGATGGTGGTAATGCCTCTGTGATGACATATTTAAGAAGAAAACAAAGTCACACGCAGTGTTAATTCCAGCTAGAGAGGAGGAGGAGGTGAGAACATGTGAGGGAAACAACATGGAGACACCAAAGTCAGTGGAGAAGGAGGGAGAGGAGGTGCTCCAGGTGCCAGAGCCGAGGTTCCTCTGCAGGCCATGGTGAAGCAGCTGCGCCCCTGCAGCCCATGGGGATCCATGGGGGATACAGAGATCCATGGGGGATACAGAGATCCATGGGGGATGCAGAGATCCATGGGGGATGCAGAGATCCATGTACAGCCCATGGGGATCCATGGGGGATACAGAGATCCATGGGGGATACAGAGATCCATGTACAGCCCATGGGGATCCATGGGGGATGCAGAGATCCATGGGGGATGCAGAGATCTACCAGCAGCCCCTGGAGGATGTGCCCATGACCATGACAATAACCCTAGCTGGGTAATTCTTGAACCTGAGGTTCAGACTGGAATGAAAAAAAATTATATATGGAAAGAAATGAACAAGAATTTGAGCACTAATTTGCAGTTGAGTTTTGTGTGTGTTCTCCTTACTGAAAGGCCGTGGATTTTGGCTGTGTGTGTAATTACCTCTCCTGCTGTTTCCTTTGCAGATGTGGTGCATTGCACGTTGGCGACCACATTCTCGCCATTGATGGCACAAGCACCGAGCACTGCTCCTTGTTAGAGGCAACTCAGCTTTTAGCTGCCACTTCTGAAAATGTTAAGCTGGAGATATTACCTGTTCACCAAAGCAGGCTGCCTTTGAAGCCTCCAGAAACAGGTGTGACTTCTGTGCCTACATTGCTGGTCACTCTCAAAACTCACTTTAGGTCCCTACAAGGGGTTCTTGCTTTTGAGTGCTGGCAACAGATTCCAAAGAGAGACATCTGTTGAGGGAAAAAAAATGGATGTTTTGATGAAATGTATGTGATTAGATGATGTTCTTCAAGGATGTGAATAGGAAAAAGAGGCAACATCTGAACATCTGTGCTTGAATAGGGAAATTGGAGATGGGAATCCCGGGGTTTTGCAGTGCTGAGTGCTGTGCAAGCCACTTCCTTCGTGCGTCAGATAAGAGACTTTAATCAAGAGGGAGGAAAACAACCGTGCTGCTGGCACATATATTTCCAAGCTCAGTTTTTATTTGCCTTGTAAGGCTTTGTAAAGGATGTATTCAGCTGGACTGGTGGACTGATGGACTTCCAAAAGCTGGAATGTAAGTGTTCATCTTTCAGGCCAGACTGCTCGAGAGGCAGCTGTGTCTGGGCAGCCAGGGGTAGAGTGAATCCATCTGTAGCTGCAGGTTTCCACCACCCATACAGAAGAAATACCAAGGAAGTAAATTCTGGCTCCAGTAAGATCAATCCTAAAATGCCTGTAAAATGTCATTGGGAATTCATCCTGGTCAACATTCTTGTTGCCCACCTTTAGTTTCTCCCACCACATGAGAAGCTGTCTCAGGCTCTCCTATAAATTTCATTGTGACCATGGCCTCAGTATTAGTATATTTTTTGTAGCTCTTGCCCACAGTTTTTTTACACTCTGTACTGGCAGGTTTGTAATTCAGGTGTTTTGGATGTGACTGTTCATTACCAGTCCCCTTTTCCACCATTTTCAATCACTTGTCTCTCAGGGACATACATTTTAATATTGATGCACAGTAGCCCTGGGCACAACTTCTCTTTCCACTCTCTTCTAGGGTGGTTTGGGGAAAGGAGGAAATTATCTTATGGTCTTCATTAAATTGATACAGTGAAACCTAAAACCTGAAAACATCTCCATGTCTAGAAATAAATTCCTTACGTGTCCAGTCCAATTTGTGCAGAACTGAAGCAGTTTAACAAAGTGAATGGATGACTTGACCTTTGTGCCCAGGAAAAAAATGGAAAGCTATAATCCTTTTTCAATGGCTGTTAAAATTAAGAATTTTCCTCCTTCCTTTAGTGCCCTGTTCAAAATCTTGAGAATATGTGCATTGAGCAGTTGCTCAGGAGAAGGAGGCTCTGTGGAAGGACAGCTCCATGTGATCAAAGCCTGTTTACCCAAAACCCCATACACAGATCAGTTTGCAGTGGCAGAAATAACAGAACACAAACTTGGGACAATAATTGCAATGCTTGACTATGAAAACTCAGGGATGTAACAATTGTTCCCACTTTTGATTAAACTCTTTAACAAATGAGGGATCATAGGGAAGGATGTTGTGCCAACTCCATAGCTCTTTCTGAGTTTAGCAAATAGGGATAGTGAAGAAGCAAGGACCCTGCAAAAGCAAACTCTCGTGGTTGACAAGAGAGTGGAGTCCAGGGAAGGAAGCTGAGGAGAGGATATGATGCAGACCCATCCCTGTTCAACACATGAGTCCCTTCAGCCTCTGCCTGCATGGTGTTTGTCATATTTTTCTAAAGTGGCTTCCTGTGCAATCAGCATCTGGTTGGAGGAGGTGGAGAAGGATCTGAAGCTGGATCAGTGGCCAGGCAAAAATATGGCCTAATGCTGGAACGTGGGATTTGTCAAACTGAGTTGGCTTTCTCTGTGGTGCTGGGGGCACTTGGAGAGTTTGTGGGAGAATTATGCCTTGCTCACAGGATCAATGAGGGCATATGGTGTCCAGGAGCAGTGCTGGGATGGATGGGTTTCCTCAGGCAGGGATAATGTGTGAAAGATTGGGGAAAGCTGTTGCAGGGTTTTTTTTACAGAGTTGTCCAAAATGCCTTCTCTCTCCCAGTTTGCTGACAGCTGAGTTTCAAAGGCACATTTTTTTCTGTTGTCAGATGTAAGCTAAGAATTAATAGACAAATGGGAGAGTTTTAGTTGTTATAAGTGGATTAAATTATTTTGTATATATGCCCATAAGCTCTGTCCCTTATGCTCAAAGTGTTTAATTTTATTAAGAACTTTTCTTTTTGTCTAGATGTGGCTAATTTGATTGTTGTTTTTAAAAGCTGCCTGGCTCAAAATTTAATTTTGAAAATATGCAAAATAGAAACTCCAGAGCTGGAAGTGTATTTTTTAAAGCTTGATAGACTAAGTGCTAAACTCACTAAATGTTTAGCAAAGACTAAATATAATCACTATATCATCTGGAAAACCTGACCTAAATGATTTAATGCCTATGATGCACACACAGAAAATGGATGTCTGCTGTTCAAGGCACTAAGAGATCACCTTTAGAGGTGGATTTCTGCCACTTTGCGTCGAGTGTCATGAGGTTACGTGTGGTTGTGTTTTTGCTGCTGATGCTTGAAACGCTGTGGTTGGGTCCTGACCTGTTCAGAGACAGCATGAGGCTTTTTTCTACAATCTCCTGGCTTATGGTTCTTACCTTTTCTTTCTCTCATTTCTTCTTCCTGCCTGTGGGGATTTCTGCTCCCCTGGATGCCATCAGTCAAGGTGCAGAAGAGTGACCACCATCACTGCTGGGACCCCTGTGTCAACTACTGTCACACCCACCACCCCGGACACTGCAAGACACCCACTTGGAACCAGACGTCTGGACAGGATTACTGCAAATGTAACCTCAGTGCATGGCATTGTCCTCATCCTGCCTGTGTTCATTCCTGTTGTGCCCCTCCATTGCCTTAATATTCAGGTTCATAGTGAGGCTTGTCACTTGTTTCCTCCTCAGTCAACTGGTTTTGTTTCCACAGCCCAGTGCTGTGGTACAAAGTCAGTATCTGCAGCCCAGCACACACAGATCTGGTAACTGGGACAAGAGCAGTGTGCTGGGCAGACCCATGCACCCATCCTCTGACCCCCCATTCCTGTGCCTGCTTTCATACAGCAAAAAGGAGTTGCTGTGGGACAGGGAAGGGTGTTCTCTGGTGTTGTGTAAGAATGTGATACAGCAACACATCCAGCTCAGCCCTGGTGCCATACAGCTTGTTAGCAGCAGGATTATGGCTACTTAGAAATCTGTAGATGCACTTCTGTGAGCTTTGTGCTGCCCTAGGTTTCTTGTCTTGTGGCAGTAAGATAGGGAAGAGGACACATTGACTGTGTCCAAACTGTGGAAAGCAAACATTCCTTGGGCCTTGGGCCCTGGAGCTGGAAAGGAGGAGCTGCTCCAAACCCACGAGTTGTTTGGTGACACTGTTAGCGAGTGACCCCTGTGCTGCAGCCCCCTGTGCACGTCCCTAACTCGCTCTGTGTTTCCCCAGCTCTGGTGGCTGCCAACTTCTCGTCTCCCACCATGAACACGCAGGGATTCCCGTGCCAGAACTCGAACACGCTACCTCGCAGCTCCCACCCCATGAGCCCCCGCACCACCATGCTGAGGAGGAGGCAGAAGAAGAAGGAGCACAAGAGCTCACGTAAGAGCAGTCTTGGGCCGGGCTGGGTTGGAGGGGGGATGCATGCTTGCCTTGCTGTCCTTGGTGTCAGCTGTTAGCCAGGGTAGAAGCACTTGTCTCATCACTGTCAGTGCCTCTCTCCTCCTTGGTGGCTGTCCCCACCACTGCCAGACCAAGGTCTATGAGCCAGGCTGTTATGTCACCCATGGCTGCCCTGACCTCCTGCCTCTCTCATCCTCTCAGTGTCACTGGCCTCCAGCACGGTGGGTCCTGGTGGGCAGATAGTCCACACGGAGACAACAGAGGTGATCCTCAGGGGAGACCCTTTGAATGGCTTCGGACTTCAGCTCCAGGGAGGCATCTTTGCTACGGAAACTCTGTCTTCCCCACCTCTCGTCCGTTTTATCGAGCCTGACAGCCCGGCAGAGAGGTTAGAGACCTTGCCCTTGGATGCTGATGGTGCTGCTGCTGAACATTTCATGGTTTGGTTTGTTTTCTCTCCTCAGAGGCTCATTTAGATATTTACTATCATCCTTGTAATATCTCCCATTCTTCACTGGGCATGGTTTACTGTCACTGCCATTTCTGCACTCGTCGGCTGACCGCGGCCTCCCTCGCACCCCAGGTGAACGTCTTGGCACCAGGCTGCGGCTGGTCTGGGAGGAGGAGGAAGGGAGTGTGTGTCTGTGTGAGAGTGCCATTCCCATTCCTTTTTATTTTTTTTTTTAAATTCTTCTTTGAAAGATAAATCATTTATATAGGTGCAAAAAGGGGAAAGGTGTAAATAAGTGGCCCCTGCAAAATGTTTTCTGACTGGTTTCATTGTAGCAGAGCCCAGCTAAATAAACAGGCCATAAAGACAAGGCTTTGAACCACAGAGACAGGGCTCTAGTTGAGGAGCAGGTAGGTGCTGCAGTTAATCCCTCCTGCTTTTGGCTGTGTAATGCTGGGACAAGTGCAGAAGGCAGGAACATTAACTGCTGTCTATCATCCCTAAGGACCCTGGGGCCAGTGACTCCTCCAGTGGTGGAGCCTCAGCTCTGGAGTTCAGCTGCTCCCAATACCCTTGCTGGCTGGATTTAGAGTCTGCTTGAGTGCCTGTGCACTACAGTGTAGGTGTCTTCTGACAAGGCTTTTGTTACTAAACCAGTCAGGTCCTAACATGGCTTGATCTCTTGAGGGGTTTAAAGGAGAGCTGATTTTGTTAGTCTGGAACTTAATGTCCCTGTGCTCATTTCTCTTCCCAGTGATTGCTTCTCTTCACGGTGATTACCACCTTAGGCAGGTCTGTCCTGCCTAAGGGTGCCAAAGCTGCAGCAACGTGGCAGTTCTCAGTGCCTGCTGCAGACCCTTTCTTGGAAGTCTCTGATGGCCCCATCAGCATGTGCTGAAGGTTTGGTGTCTCCAAGCCAGCCCAGAAAAAGAACACACAGGGGAGTTGTAGATTTGTATGGCAGGGAAGGTGTCTGCAAAATGAAATGCAAGTCCTTGCTGTGCAGACCAGTGTCTGTGTTGTAGCCTCTCCAGCCAGCTGAGGCAGGGTGGAACAGGAGTACCTGGTGCTTGTGTCTGTGGGAGGACAGCGACAAGGGGCTGGCAGAGGAAAAAGAGCTGTCTTGATGCAGGATAGGAGAGATTTCAAAAGCCTGTTATGCCTTTGTTTGTTTGATTGTTTCCAAACAGGGTTTAAAAATTAAGGTGATGCCATTATGGGTTTTTTTATCCTCTATTGTGAGTGAACTTGGCTCGTGTTGCAAGGCACCAAACTCCTTTTATAAATCAGGCAGCAGCAAAGCCTGCTGTCCCAGGGGACGAGTGAGATGTGCTGAAATCTGCCTGGCTTTGCTTTATCCTCTTGCCAAGCCTGGAGGAAAAGCAGTGACTGGCGGTGCAGCCTTGCCTGGCTCTGATGTGTCACACGCGCTGCTCACCCTTGCGCTGCCCACCCAGCAGCGTTCACACTGCTGCTTTCTGGAGACCGGGAGCAATCCTCTCTGCATTTGCAGCCTGGATTTGATTTGGGGATTAAATCTCTGCTGTGTATTTCGTTCTTTCCTAAACCATACTGCTCTTCCTAGCTGTTAGGAAAATGCTGTGTTTCCTCCCTATCTTGAAGCATTAAGTGCACTGGGTTTGCAGTGAAGTGAAAAAGGCAGTTTTATATTTTCATTTCACTTTTTGTTTCTTGCTGTTTCACAGAGCTCTTTGCTCCATCATTTGAGATACCTTACTCTCAAGAGGTTCTCCAGAGGTTCTGCTGTAGCTGCAGCCCAAGACATTAAAGCCCTTTTCATCCCCTCTACTGGGCTGGGCTCCCAGCTGAGCTGGGCTGTGCTCTTTCTTGTGCTGCAGTTTTTGCTCTTTCCCAAAAAGGTGAGCTCTGGGGATACAGGGATCAGGTTTAGCAGCCTGGATCTGACCTGGATGTTCACACACTCTGCAAAACCTGTGGATCTGAATGTGCTTTTGTACAAGTGCATGATCCACACTGGCTTTGTCCTTCTGGATTGTTGTGGAGGAGCTGCCTCTGGGGTGCCCAGCAAGTGTGAGTACTACCAGGGAGGAGCACAGAATCACCCTCTTCAGGGATGTTGGACTGCTCATATTTATTGTCTGCTTTCTGCTAGCTTGTGGCAAGCGGTTTGATGCAAAAATTCTCACCTGTCTGACTTGTGATTTGTTTTACTGCAAATAGCCTCTAATAGACCTCCCTCCCCACCTGTTGTTTTGTTTCCAGGGTGCATGATTCAGAAAAAGCATGAAGCTTTTGGGTTCTGAATGAGACAGTGATTCAGCCCCAGTTATCAGCAGGGAGGGTGGAAGGGGAAGAAGCCTGACATCCCTTCTTGGCTGCCTCGAAGCACACAGCTTTTGTGTCCTTCCTCCCCCAGCTGTCATTGGCAGCAGAGGGAGACTATCTGACTTCTCCATCCTGGTATCCAAAATCAATGCTTCCTGCTGAGCTACATGTTTTCTAGCTCTGCTCAGACACAGTTGTTTGATGATTGCGTTTCTGCCTTTTGGGTATGAATAGTTTGCAAAAGCAAAGTTTAGTGGCTGGCTGAAGCTGTCAGCAGAGCTTTTATCCATTAGGGGCTGAGACCCACCCCCCAATATGCAGGCACAGATGTGCACACACACAGAGATGTGCATGTCTGACTTGTGCAGGCCAGCTCAGGGACATGTAAGGGCACAATGGGTGAGTTTGTACATCCAGCAGTGGGGCCACAGTCACAGCTGCTCCCCACACAGCTGGAGTGACCACGCAGACATGGATGATGCTGAGTGAGCTCTTCAGTGTACATCCTGCCCAAGGCTTGAATATGTGCTGCTCTTTATCAAGCAAGACACCTCCACTGCTCTGTTGCTGTCTTTAAGCCCAAGGAATGAGTCATGGCAAAATGCAGATCTGTTCTGCCCCAGGGAGATATTCCTATCATGGACTCTGACACATCCATAGGGCTGTCTTTCACTCCAGGAGATGCCTGTACTCCTGTTCCTTCTGATTTTAACACACTTTTGCTCCCATAGTCTGAAAGCACTTTTTAGGTTCTGATGTTAGACTGAGCATCTCTGAGATAAATGCCTTCTCTTTGGAAAAACTTGTCTGAAGATTCATGTGGGATCCCATGGCAGAGCTAAGGAGAGCTGTGCAGGACCCTTGGCTCCCCAGGCTCCACTCCCAATGCAAGGGCACATAACAGCTGGAAATAGATGTCTTTGGAGTCATTCTGAAGGGTTAGCAAGACATGTCAGGCCTCCTTGTACTTGATAGAGGAAGCCAGACGGTTGTGGCATCACACCACAAACTTTTCCAAACACCCAAGACCAGGGCTTAAACATTTGTGATTGACTGAGGCTAATAATAAAAGAAATAAAATACTTATGACCTAACAGAGCTGTTTGCTGTAAAAGACTCAGGCAAATGCACCTTGAGTGAAGAAAGACAAGAACTGGCTGCTTTGGGAGAAGGCAGCTCTGGTGGGAAAGGTGGTAAAAGTTTGCTTTGATGCAGTGTAAAAGTATCCTCTGAGCTCCTAGCCCTTGTGGCTGAAAGAGTGGTGCCAAAGTGGATTGTGTCCCTGTGTGACCTCGAGATGACAGTGATGTCTGAGTGATGCAGCTGTCAGTCTCTCCTTTGCAAAAGGTGCACTGTGGCCACAGCAAGAGACCTCTTGGTGACAGAGGAGTCGTCTCTGTTGTACTCCGTGCCATCTTTGTATTTATAAGCTGATATTTCTGAATGTGTCTATGTGACTTCATAGCCACAAGTCCACTAAAGGACTGTAATTAAACTTGATGTAATTTATTCACAAGGGTAGGTTCATTTATACATCATGGAGTTGTCTGTCCTAATCTAAGTCTCCTTGAACAAACAGCTCTGCATCTCATAAAGTGGCCAGTGATGGCATGATGATTTCCATGGATGGCATGAACACAGGCCAAAGAGTGAATATACCTTCCTACCAGTAAAATAACCACCCTGGGCTCCCTCCAAACTTGTTCATATCTCAGCTTTTGATGGGCCATTGGCACAAGCTGGTGTGCTTGCTCATTTTTCTTGAATTCAGGTGTGTGTACTTTTTCTTGATAACTTGGCCTTTCATATACATCCTGTTGTTTGGACATGAATAATACAGCCAAGTGTCTGTTGCCTTTGTGTGCCTGGAAGCTGTGGTGCTGTGTTTTCTTACAACTGAACTGGGTGTGAGTGATGAAGGGTGACTGGAAGGTTCAGTAAAAAACAAACTGTCTTCTGTGAGGTATTTGTCAAAGAAAGGGGAAGACAAAGATGCATTTAATCATTAAACAGGAAGGGAATAAAGATTCTCTGGAAAAGGCTTAAAACAGGATAACTAATGTCTTCTGGAGAATCTTTGTGGTAAATTTTTTTCTCCACATTTTGAGGGGAACCTTATACTTGATGCCATCACCCTAAAAATCTTTTGAAGACCACTCTCTAGGTAACATTAGTGATGGGTGAAGAGTGGTTTCCCAAGCTCTGATCTAGTGGACAGCCAGGTGGTAAGTGGAAAGTCTAAAAAGATGTAGTTAAAGTGAACAACTGATAGAGGAGAAGGAAGATGAGCAATTTCCCATGGATGCAGGGAACACTGCAGTCATGTTTTTGTAGAGCCATGGGCCAGCCCAGGTGGGAGCTGACTGAGATAATGTGGGAGATAACTTGGAGGATCATGCTGGTGTTGCAGTATATGTAAAAAAAAAAGGAGTGTGGGTGGATACTGAATGTAGGAATGTGTGAAAAACACCTTGCTTATAAATGCAGGGGGTCCCAAGAGACAAACTGTGCTGTAGCAGTACATCTCCAACATAGCCTTACCATCATGTTCTCTTTCCAAAGTAAAAATCCTGCTGATCTCTGTTCCTGGAGAAAGTGTCTAAACCAAGAGCCCCAAAGGTCAGCTGTGGTTATATTGTCAGGCCATCACACTGGAATAATATTGGCCTTTCAAGGCAGTTAAACAGTATTGCTGTACATTTGGCTTCCAGAAATGCAATTAGAAGGGATAAATGATTATCTAATTTGCTGAGACATTTTGGTGAGTTTATTGGATTGTAGCTTCAGTGTTTGCCATGAACTGAGCAGAGGAATCTGTGCAGTTTTCAGTGCCATTAGTTTGTGTTCCAGAGGGTGCAGGTGCATGGGCAGAACTGTTTGTGGTTATATAGGGAAGGAAGTCACATTCCCTTGTGTTTATCATTCTCATTTCTCAGCCATGGTGTTGACTTCTAGGAAGACGAGGGTTTCTTTTTTCCCCCCTTGGTTGTTGCAAAAATATGACCAGAAATGGTTATTTAGGAGCAAAGAATATTTGAACTTTACAAACCCACAAAGGTTTGCTTCCTTGTGCCCTTCCAGAGACACTGGGATGGGCACAGCAAAACGAGTTATTTTCAATCTGGGGCCACTTCTGCAGGATATGTCAGTACTTTGTGTGTCTTATAAGAGATTTTCCTGGCGAAAGTAACTCATGGCTGGTTGTGGGGTTGTTTTTTTTCCTCCTTTCCTCTTTTTCCTTGTCTCCTTGTTCCCATTCCCTCTTTTCCCACTGTGAACTGCAGGTGTGGACTGCTGCAAGTAGGAGACAGGGTCCTTTCCATCAACGGCATCGCGACAGAGGACGGGACCATGGAGGAAGCCAACCAGCTCCTGCGGGACGCGGCGCTCACCAACAAAGTGGTGCTCGAGATCGAATTTGATGTCGCAGGTACATTCCCAGAGGAGCTGCTGCTCCTCTCTGCCCATAGGAGTCTGCCTTTGCTAACCTTATTTGAACCAATAAAGCTTTATGGGCTTGTTGTCTTGGTTCCAGTAGCACTAAAGGGAGAATATTGACAAGGATCAGAAGGAAGAGTGAGAAACCCTGTGAGGACCATTTCTCCATTTCTTGTTGTTCTAACAGGCACTGAAATGGAGGTTCTTCTGATCCTTTCATAAATGTTCTCTGCTCATTGCTTGGCTGAGATAAACCTAAGGAATACATGAAGAGGACACACTTTAAATATTTGCCCATTAATAGGAATAATATTTATATTCATTTATGGCCTTGAAGCCAGGAGGGAGCCAAAGCTATAGGCTAGGAGTAAAGTGCAGCTTTGTATTAAAAAAGAACTTTTTTCCCTTTTACATTGACAGAGCTGCTTCAACCTTGAAATACAGTGTGATGTGAGCACTTAACTTGATGTTCAGAGTATGTATTTTTAATGAGAATCCAAATTTCAACCTGAAGTCCACAGGGCCTCAGATAACCTTATCTGAACCAATAAAGCAGTGCTTTATGGGCTTGTTTTCTTGGTTCCAAAGAAACCATCCATGCAACTGAAAACTCACTTTTTTTTCTTTTTTTTTCCTTTTTTGTTTGTTTTTGGCTTTGTAGAGTCTGTCATACCCAGCAGCGGTACTTTCCACGTTAAATTGCCCAAGAAAAGAGGTGTAGAGCTTGGAATTACAATCAGCTGTAAGTATTGCTCAGACTTGCAGTTGCAAGAGCCTCTGCTTTCCACACATGCATTTTAGAGGACTTGACTGAGAGAGAGAAGATCATATAGGGTTTCTGTAGCACTCCAGTGCTCGTGATTATCCCAGAATGAATCAGATGTGTGGTTCCTGCCTCCATGAGCTGGCAGCTGCAGAGAAAAGCAGCTGCATGAAGGGTTGGGACAAAGTCTCAATTGATCACTTAATCTGTGGTACACAATAGTATTATATTATATTATATTATATTATATTATATTATATTATATTATATTATATTATATTATATTATATTATATTATTAGTAATATTATTTTTATTTCCTTGCTCACACTTGTATTATGTTCTTTTTAAAAAGAATTGCCTGGGTCTGGGGGGACCCTTGCAAAAAGAGGTGGAGGCAGGAGAGTAAGCAAGAGGCGAACCCCACAGCTTGAGGGCTAGAGAAGGGAAACTGCCAAGAGGGGGAGCATGAAGGGGGTGGTGGGTCTAAGAGACAGGGGGAGGCACTTTAAATTCCAGGTTTTGCCAGGAGTTGTTTCATTGACAAACTCAAGCTGTGCAGAAGGAAAGGCATGTGCCAGGACCTGGTGTGCACTGAGAGAGCATAAACCTTTCTCCTTTTCTCTCTTCTCTGCTCACTCTTGATTAATTATCTCTGTTTCTCTTCTGAGCACAGTTTTTCATTTAAAGATCTTTTGGCCTCTTTGGAGAAGATGCTGTAGGGGGATGATACAGGCAGATCCATCCCAAATTTCTGGGATCTAACTTGGGGTCTTGTTATGCCTTGTGTCAGTGAATTTTTCCTGTATGGCAAACACATGCAGGTCTCAGATCACTCTTCCCTCTTTCACTGGGTAAAGTCAGTTGAATCATCTCAGGTTTGCCATGCCCTGAGACTGCCACCACCAATGAAATGAAACAGAGCAGCTTATGAGACTGCAATAATGGGATGTCTTGTTTAAGCCTTCAGGAGACAGACCCAGCTGTGTCTGGGGATTGGAGTCGCAAGGGACACTTGAAAACTAGGTTTCATTAAAAGAGATAAGCTATGGTAATTACCTCTTGACATTTACAGCATTAGTGAGTGTTAATTGGAGGTGTTCTGGTCCAAGTGGGGTGATTCTCAGGAGTGACTGGAACATTGACAGGATGATGCCTTTGCACCTTGTGATATTTCTTCTCCCTCTTCTCAGCTTCCCCTATTTGTGCCACAAGGACAATCCTGAGACATAACAGCACAGTATTTAACATTTGGCTTGGTAGCAGTTACCGTCTGAAGACATGAAAGTGCTTTCTGAAAGCAGCAGGCTGTCTATAATGGCATTTCACTGGCGGGGAGCAGTGCACGGTGCAGACTGTGCTGAGTTCCGAACTGCTGCCCTGCCACTGCCTTGGCATTCCAGCCTCAGGGAGCAACCTGGGATAATGGATCTGGTAGCAAAAACTGGCTCCAGCAAGGCTCTATTAAGTTTCAAACTTTAGTTTGTGTCTGGGGCTAGAGAGCAAAATGAACCTGTGAGCTGCTGGCAAGGACATATTTTTATTTGTGAAGTCTTATTTGAACAGGATCTGCTTCAGATGTGCATTTACACTTCAAACATATTTTTATGTTGGAAAGGTTTTCATTTCAAATTTGTTAAAAAAAGTGATTTCACACACTTTTTTGAAATCACTGCTAATAGAAAGAAACTGACCCCTAGGTTTAAAGTAGATGCCCATTATCCAACTACAAAGCAGCTTTTTAACACTATAATTGATTTGATCTTTTTGATTGCTGAACATGTTTGTACAATATTGTTTAAGAAATACACATGCATAAACCTAAAATATATTGAAGTTGTTTCCTGACTTAAAGACAAAATTATATTTGCAAAGGGAGAAAAAGACAGGCACCCAGAAAATGTAGTGGCAAGGATGAAATTCAAGCTTAATCCTAATTTTATTTTCATATGTTAGTCTATAAGCACTATATAGATCCACATGATCCTTAGCAAATTAGTTTATCATTTTTTTTACTTTGCTTCTGACCAGGCAGATAAATACACCAGTTCCAAATATTAAAACCAAAGCAAGCAGCCTTATGTTAAGTACTTCCTGCAGAGACATGATGTGCATGCAGGAGTGTGATGCAAGCAGCAACAGAAAAGAGGTAAAAATAACCCTTCTCTGTTTTGCTCAGTTCCTTTCCTCTCAGTTCTGCTGACTTGAGTGCTTGTGTAGGTCTAGAAACAGCTTTTACAGCTTTCCTTCTGATATGGAAAATTATATAACTACTGTTTTAAAGGAGAAGACTTGGTTTACTGGCCTCTTGCATTGGATTCCTGTTCCCTACTCTGTAAAACTGGAGCAAGTTGGCATTTTTTTAAAGGTGAAGGGGTCAGTAGAAGACCCACTGCACTGTCGTGGCCACAGGATTTTATTTATTCATGTACTTTATAGTCTAGCTACATTACAGATGTAAGATTAGTTGCTTTCATTGAGTTTTACCTCTTGGCTTCAGCTGGCTTCTCTGTAGTTAATTCCTCTGCCTAGGAAGGTTTGCCTCTGCCTTCTTAAATGGGCAGAAAGTGTTACGACCTCATCAGAGGAGCACTTCAGAAATAAATGTGATCAAGTTCTTGCTGTGCTGTGACTCTCAGAGATAATTGGGAGATGGACTAAGTAAAGGGTGGGGGGAGAGCAGGATTCTTGATGGATGTGTTGAAAGAATTCATGTAATGGAGCTGGCTGCAGGAGAAACCATAAATCTGCTGGAAATGCTCATAAAAGGGCTGAAAACCCAGGAGATTTGTGTACGAGCAGGGCAGATGCTGCTGGTTCTGGGATGAGCATACAGAGAGGGGCTGTACCTAATCCTGGTGAGGGACAGATGTTTGCTGAGGGCATTTAATCTTCTCAGAGATCTCAGGGTTTCCAGAAGGAGAAGGCTTGGGTTGGATGAGTCTCCAGTTGCAGTCTGAGAGCCTGGATGCGTTTCTTTCCCCTCCCCAACACAGTGTGGCAAAGGGACATAGCAAATCAAGATGCATGGTGGAAATACATGCATATACTATTTCCCTTTCCATTCCCCAAAGGATGACTACAAAATCCAAGGGGTGAGCCTTTCACTGACAGTGCTTTGTACTCCTGAGGGATCTCTGTGCCCTCAAGCCTCATTTCAGTCTCCTCCATATGCTAAATGAAGAACACTGAAGCTGCCATGTGTGTGCTGCTCCATGCACTTTGTCCAGGGGTGAAGGAACATGAAGCCAGCTAAACTCTCATTTTTTCCATACTCCAGTACCTCAGCCTCTGTCTCAGAGAGAAGGGCATTTACTTGTAGAACAGCTGTTCTGGCTGAAGAGCAGAGCATGCTCCTTTCTGCTCCAAGAGCTCTGAAGCTTACCTGTTTGCAGCAAGCTCTGAGGCTCTGAATGGCGAGCATGAAAATACAGGGACACTGAGAGTTTTGACACAGGGATGTGAAGATTTGACCCTTGTTAGCCTGAACTACCCATCTCCATTAGCAGAACAAATGCCTCAAATGCTCTGATCTTGCTGGCTGCATCCAGTTCTAATGATGCAGTTATGCCTTTGAAGGTTTTCTGTAAATCTCTTACAAATTAAAATCTCCAGCAGCGAGAAGGGAACAGTCACGCATTCTCATACGTTCAATACCTCACCTCTTAAAATAAGATATGGATTTGTTATTACCCTCTGGAAAATGATAGTTGGTTACACAAAAGATTGCCTTTTGTATTGAGAGTTTGTGATTTTTTTTCTGTCTCAAATATCCTTTCCAAGGGCTGTTTGTGACATTCACTGTAGGGTAGAGGTGTGTTGGTGTTGCTGTTCAAAGAGATACCGAATTTGCCATTAATTTTAGATATGCATTAATGCATTATATAGCTTGTTTATCAAATTACCTTTATATATCTTAACAAATCAATTCCTGTGCCCTTGGTGTGAAGTACTGCAGATAAGGAGTAGGCAGTATATCTGCTTTCAGGTGATAAAACCGGAATTTGGGTAGATAGATAACTTCGATTAAGTCGCTTAAGCAGTGTAATCACTGTCCTAGTGAGAAGATGGATCTCTGAGCCAAGCAAACCTAGTTTTGCTGGCTCTGTGTTAGCCTGTGCCCTGCCACCAGCCCAGCTGAGCGTGTCTGCAGGCGGGGCAAGCTCAGCAGCCACCTGTCCTACCCCCTCACTCACACTATATCTGATTCACTCCAGTGCTTTTATCCTGGTGGGATATCCTGATCTGGTTTTGCTACCTGGAGATTGTGAAAGAAAAAGGATCTGTGATGAGGCAGATATCCTGCTGGAGGCACTGATAATTTATGCACCTGCTGCTAAACTTAATGAATGATAGAGGAAAAAGTTGGGTACTGAGGATTTGATTTTCACTGCTGCTCTTTGTAATCAATTCTGATTCACTTTTTTTCCCCTCTTCTCATTCCTTAGCTATCCTGAGATTATTTGGTTTCTGATTTTGCTATTTCCAATTTAAAAATGGTTCTTATTTAAATGCATTCTTATGGCATTATTACAATTTCTTTAATTACACATTGGCAGTGTTGCTTTGGCTTGGTCAACAATGAAGGGCATTTTTAATGCATTGATGCTTGTGAAATATGTGCTGGTGTTCCTTGGAGGGGAATAATTCACCAGTACAAGTCATTATGCATTCTATTAAAAACACAGACTGGACATGTGTTCCTGGCCTCATCATCCATCACAGTGTAAACACTGAGTGAGCCACAATCCCAGCAGAGAGACCGAAAGCAATTTATAAAAAGTAAATAACAGTATTGATCAATTCACCTTTTTATCACTGCCCTGTCACTGCCAAGCAGTGTTTTCATTTTGAGTTTCTTTCCCACCACATGCTTCTACCTTTACCAGCTGTTGATTTATAGAGCCTTCTCTGGGCCACTGGAGCAGATTCAAACTATCTTTTGTACTGGTAAATCCACCAAAAACACAGATGTGTCTGAAAAAGAGTCTGTTTCTACCTGAAGTGGCTTGCCTTGGCAGATGGAGGCCACAGCCAGGATGCCTGCTGAGAGTGAGCATGGGTTTCTGCACGCCAGCTCCTGCCTCCATCTCTTCCCTTGACTTCCTTTGCTGCCACCTCCAATTCACACACAGGAAAACAAAACCCAGAGGCAAGGCTGAATGTCCAAGCTGTGTCTTCCTGCAGCAGAGTTCCCAAGACAATGTCCTGTGAAGAGAAATAACCACATTAACAGCTGAAATGAATGGATAAGGAGGCTTTACTCATCTGTGCAAATGTCTTAATGCCAAAGACCACAGCCCTAATAACGATGTAGTTTAGGCTGGTGCTGTTTTAATTGCAGGCAAATTGGAAATTGTCCATTCAAAATCTCACCGGGGTTTCATGTATCTAATGGCTCTGACCTCTGTGGAGCCACTCTTTCAGTGAAACTGGAGCTCTCTCACTGTCAGACAGACAGCTGTTGCACAGAGAAGCAGTCACCCTGTGTGAATGGCACAGGATGATTAAAAATGTGGCTCTCAGGATGCTCAGGGCAACCTGATCCCAGCAGACAGGCAGGAAGCCCATCTGGACACTCTGCTGGGGTGCTAGGGAGGTCTTTGGGATGCCAAAGGTTAATTATTGGAGTCAGTAACTACATGTTTTTAGAATGAACAGCAAGCCTCTGTTTTGTGAGATTTCATTATCTTAACCTTGTATCTTATTCCTCTTAAGAGAACATGGTTATTCATTACATCTCCCTAACTTACCCTTCAGATTTGATGGTTTTATAAAGCCTTTGCAATTTACATTAAGTAATTATGTAATGTGATGATTCTCCCATCTCTGGAAGTGTTCAAGGACAGGTTGGGTGGGGCTTTAAGCAACGTGGTCTAGTGGAAGGTGTTCCTGTTCCATGAGTGGAACTAGATGATTGTTAAGGTCCCCTCCAATCCAAGTGATTCTATGATGATTCTGTGATGAATATTTAGGACATTTTATGTTTACAAGGGCTGCCATTTATTCAAGTTTGAGTTCTCTGTTGGTAGGGACAATTGTATGCAGTTGTATATGGCTCTTCCATTTAGCTCAGATCTCAAGAAAATCTGTTCTGAGTGCAAAACTTTTTAAAAAAAGCCCTGCAAACAAAACCCAGCATGGTTTTTCCTTAAAACTTGCTTTCTTCTCTAACGGATAAAGCACTTAGTTTGTTACCCTTGCTCCTGTCATGGGAAGCTTGTGCTGTGCTCAGTGCTGACATCAACTGTGGAGCTTCAGAAGGGCAAGGTCTGGTTCTCTGCTCAGAGACTGACTATGTGCAGGATCCCCCCATGTGTCACACGACTTGCAAGGCAGATGCTGAGATAAACATAAATCCTGTACAGCTCGAGGCATGCTGTTGTCTATACTTGCTTGCTAGCTTGCCTTTTTTTGTTCATGGTCTCCGGACACGTTGTTCAGCTTCTTCAGCTGTGGCTTGGTCAGGTTAGAGATGGCCATCCCAGCCCACCACCAGGACAGGTTAGGATCCTCCCTAACCCCTTTCTGTCACTGCTTCTGCTTTGAAACTAGTAAACAAACCTTGCTGTGAAAAGTATTTTTACCAACCTGGATTGTTTTGACAGAACCAGGCTAGGGAGTGATTAAACATGCAGCAATGCCACCTGACCCAGGGCTTAGGGTGTGCTCACAGGGTCTCCCCTCTCTGCTGCTCAGACCCCACTCTGTACACCTCTGTCAGCAGCACATATATGTCCTATACTGAAAAGGAGAGCAACAGTAATAATGATCAGAGTGGTATATCTCAATCCCTGAGCTGTTTGTTAGTCCATGCTGTATGTCCTTCTCAGTCAGCATGGGGATTTCTGTGTTGTTCTTGCCTGAACCCCACCCTTATTCCCACTTCTCAGCTCTGCCCAGTGTGTCTTGTCCTGTCTGCAGTCTGGTCCATGCTGTGGGCAGGCTGAATATGGGCACGAGCCCTCCAGGAATCTCCACAGCACATCCCCTTCCCTTTGATTTGCAGACAGGAGCACAACATGAGTGTTGAGTCCAAAATTGTCTGGTACCAGGCTCCAGTAAGACATGGGGAAAGAATTCCTCCAGGCTCTGTACCATTCAGCAGTCACATTGCTGTGACTATTATAAAATCTGTCACGGTCTGCTCTTTTGCTGTCTGACCTCACTGTGGCTCTCAGCCCTGACACAACTGAGACTGACTGTCTTTTTGCTCTCTTTAGTACAGAAGGTTTGGTTATTTCTGGAAGAGGATATCCTTAAAGGTGTTGGGTTAGACATATGTTTTTAAATCTCATAAATGAATGTAAACAACAGAAAACTAGACCAGAGAGGTGGGTAAACATTTATTAGGTTTGATTCTCTGGTGGTGCCACGTGCCTCACAGATATTTTAATCTCTGCCCTGCACCTGATATGTTCAGAGGCTGTGAGTTTCTTTCTTCCCACACAGTTTTTGTGAGAAGCTGAGAAGCTCTGTCAACTTCAAATGAAGCAATGCAATTCCCATGGCAAGGCAGAAGGGAAGGATGCAGGGCGGAATGGATGCTCTTTCTTGGTGTATGTTTGGCATGTGGATGACAAGGAGGTCAGGAGGAGTTTGAGTCATAGGTCTCTCTTGGGCTTCTCAGGAGAGCAGCAAGTCTTGCAGGCAAGTTTGAAAATGTAAATGCTCCCAGAGATGTGTACTCTCATCTCGTGGGCTGAAAAAGTTATCAGGGTCAGCCAGGAGATAGGAGTTGGAAACCACCCACCCCTTCCAGCTCCAGCACAAACCACCCCTGATTCATCTGCTTGTATGATTAAGTGCCCTAGAGAGCTGAACCAGTTGGAAAACTCTGCTTTTTCCCTGGGTTATTTTCCACCTGGAAAATTTCACAGCCCACTTTACTTGAAGAACACAGAAGGGCTTGTATGGAGCACAGGGCTGAGCTGGATGCTCTCCAGGCAGCAGTGCTAATTCTGACTGCAGCCATGGCCTTTGGCTCCCTTGTCCTGTGTGTGAGGACTGGTGAGGAGTGTTTGACAGTGCTGGGATTGGCAATGCCAGCTCTTCCTGTTGGACACCACATGTCTTCTTTTTCAGGAGTCCAAAGGAAATTAACCTGGGCAAAGGGCAACCGACAAACTTTGCAGGGATTTGTGTTTTGTTTTCTTTCTTTCTTTCTGGAGAGGCTTCCAGAGTTCAGCTGTGAAGCATCATTGTGTGATGGGAATATAAATCCCCTTTCCTTATGGCTGCTTCTCCCCATTAACCATCCACCACCCCCATCCTGGACAGAAAACTCAGCACCAGGCTTTGTACCGTGTGTCTCTTTTGCAGCTGCAAGCAGAAAGCTTGGGGATCCTTTGATCATCTCTGACATCAAGAAGGGGAGTGTAGCACACAGGTGAGTGCAGCACACAGGTGAGTGCAGCATTTTCCATCTGTCAAACCCATTGCAAAATGCCCTCCATGATAGAATGTCTACCAGAGAAGCTGATGGAGCCCGAGCAGTAGCACTTGGGTCTGGATATTTCCAGAATCCAAGGAGATCTCAGCACTAGAGGTTTTTCTTAGACCACAGTAGGGTTTGCAATAAAAACTGTCTGTATTGAAGCAAACAGCATTGAGCTAATGGAGAAGGTGACCAGGGCACTGGTTTAGATGCCTGCTGAGTTTGTAGGAGATGGATGTTTGGCATTTAAGAGCATGTGGTAAAGGGCTTCATATATCCCAGGTGGTGCTATGGCTCATCAGGTAGTTTGCTGTGTCTCAGCTCCTGCTTTGGTGAACAAAATGAGTGAATTGTGGGCATTGGTGTAGAACTGTGCAAATAACTCAGCATTTATTGACTTCCCCTCTGATCCCAACACTTCATAGCAAGGTGTTCAGAGGAATTTAGTATGGCTTATTTCTAAGCATGGCTTATTTCTAAGAGTGCTCTCACAGGAGTTTCCATAAGGGGTAGAATATCTGTCAGTTAAATATCAGGCATTTTCAGAGTTGTAGGTTACCCAGGATATTTATCTAATCTTCCTGTCTGGTTCTGTGTGGATACCTGCTCTACACAAACTTCCTCTCTTTAAAATTACAGGTGTCCAGACTCAGCTCATAGTTGTTTTCCAGAAAAGATCAAGGACAGTAAAAAGTTAATATTGTATTTTCCACTGCAGGACCAAATGTAACGTGGGATCTGAAAGGGAAATACAAATGTACTCTTAGTTTTCTTTTCCTTTCCATGTAGAACTGGCACCTTGGAGCCTGGAGACAAGCTGTTAGCCATTGATAACATCCGACTCGACAATTGCTCAATGGAGGATGCTGTGCAGATTTTAAGGCAGTGTGAAGACCTGGTCAAATTGAAGATTAGGAAGGATGAAGATAACTCTGGTACAGAAATCCTGATGCAAACTGGTGCCTGTCCACTGTAATGACATTTCCCAATAGGTAGTGCAAACTAACAAAGATAAGGGCTGCTGTCATCCAGTCGCCACTTTCCAATTGATTATAGTCTATTTTTGTTTATTCTGCCCTTAAGTGATGCCTGGAAGGTTAAAATCCTATTTGGTATGAGTGTCACTGAAGATTTCTGGCTTTTGCTTCTAGATGCTGCAAGTCTTTCCTATGACTACTTTTATTTGGGATGAGAAAATAATTCAGCATTTCTGTTTTCTTTTTCAGATGAGCAGGAGACGACTGGTGCTATTATCTACACGGTGGAGCTGAAGCGATACGGGGGCCCTTTGGGAATAACCATCTCTGGGACAGAGGAACCTTTTGATCCCATTGTCATTTCGGGCTTGACTAAACGAGGGCTGGCAGAGAGGTGAGGTTTGGGGGCAGAACAGTTGAATTGATTTGAGAAGGGGTCTTGAACCATGCCAAATTTCCTCTGCTGTCATAAATTCTTTGTCATCTAAGTCTGCTAAGAAGGAAGGGTGCTCTGAAGGTACCAAGGGACATGAAGCAGGGTGGTGGGGTCTGTGCTGCTAGGAAAATGAGACAGACACTTCAGGAAAAGTCAGATCCAATGAGTCAGGTGAATTCTGCTGCTGGGAATACATATTTGCCCCTCTTCTACAGAGGTGCTTCCTGGTCTGGGATTTGCCAGGTACACCTCATGTCAGGAGGGTGCCCAGCCTGCCTATGAAACCACCATAGACTCTGACCAGGACTGCCCTGTTGCTAAACTGGTTTATGGCCATTGCAGTGGTGTGTCCTGCTGAAACCAGGGATCTCGGGTGTCTTCTGACCTGTCCTTGCTTTTTGCTCAGTGTGTTACATGTGAGGTGTCTCAGTGCAGGTTGGGCTGCCCAGCGTCTGGCATTTATACTGAATAAACGTAGGAGCAGATTTACCTTCAACCACTGGGGAGGTTACTGTGTGCCTGGGTCTGAATATATGTGGATGTGTGGGATTTAAAGGATCAGGACATTCCTGAGAGTATAAGGTGGAACTGAGTCATACACTCTATCTTAATTAATCTTTCTATATGGGAGCTGCGACTTGTAAATAGATCATTTCAGCAGCCCTGACTCATGCTTCTTTAAGAGTCTTTTACTTTGTGCTGCCTGACAGGCAGAACAGCAACAAAAAAAACCCTGAACAAACTGGTGTAAAGTGCAAGACTTTGGGGATGTTTTACAGCAGATCTGGCCTTTTGTTTTTTTCTGTTTCAAGACCACACTCCCTCTTAGCTGGACTGTGAAACAACTCTGTGTCCTTTTCTGCATTGGGTTCCCAGAGCTCTCAGAACTCTGCTGTGCATTTCCATTGCTTCCCTTGGTGCAGCATGCAGAAGGTCTGTGTCTCCTGGGAAGGAAGGGGATGGACTTAGTCATTGGTGATTCTTCTCTTTGGGGATTTTATATCACTGCTTGCTACTGATTTGGTCTTTTTCCCTATAAAATAATAGCCACAGAGGATACAAAGCTTTTCTATGTAGCACTTCTGTACTGTACTCACAACCCAGCATGAGAGAGGTTAAGAACAGCCAGCTAAAGCGCTGTCAGGTATCAGAAGACAGTCTTACACCTTTGTTGGTGTCAGTTCCCTTTGCAATTCCACGCCTGTTCCTCCTCTGAACTCGGATGCACACGGGTGACTGCTACGTCCAGAAATGTAGTGCAGGGGCTGCTGCAGTACTGCTGAATTTTGATCAGGAGTGAGCAGGCAGTGAGGAATGAAAAGCCTTGTGGGCAGAGTGACGGAGCTGTTCAGCACGTTCACTGTGGCTGAGTTGCAGATAACAGCGTGGGGATAGAGCAGCACAGGGATGTCTCTGGGTAACCTTGGCTCCCCATGGGGAGGGTGAGGAGCACTGTGATGAAGGCTGCTTGCAGGAAAGGTGAATTTTTTTCTCTTGTCAGTGAGAGAAGGGGGTGACTTGACCTTGCCAAGAGAAGAGGGGTGCTCCTAGTGTTATCCTAAATTGTCCCTTTCTGACGTCTCTACCTTTATCTGTGCCTCAGATACCCTTAGCCAGGCTCTGATTGAAGGATGGGGATTTAAATCCAAATCCATGCTCTTGCTGGGGTAGAGGACATGGTTTGGCAGCACTGACATGGGGTGGACCTGATCCCAGTGTCCGATAACAGGAATTCATGGGCTGTTCTTGTAGAGGAACAAATGAAAGTGCACTGCATCTTGGGCTGCTGGCAGTGGGGGAGGCAGGGTGTCCTCTAGGATCTGTCACACGTCTGTCTGTGGGTGACAGGCTGCCTAAGTCTAAAAGGCTTCACAGTCAGATGGCTTAGGTTTTATCTTGACCTTGAACATTTTTTTTCCTCTTGTCTGTTCTTACAGAAACCTACAAAGGCAGCTCAGACTTAGATCAGTGTCAAGCTATGGCTCTCTCCCATGTTAATGTCTGTGTCCCCTCCCTGAGTGCCTGCAGATGGCTTAAGCCTGTGCCATAGGACTTGTGTTTTCTTTCTTAACCAAGGGAGTATGCCTGAACAATTTTGTTCAATTCTGGTTGAGGTGTAATGGTTCCCCAAGAGCAATTTTTGGCTATTGCTGGCATTTCAAAGTGCCAGACCAGCCTCCTTCAGTGCCACCTGCTCAAGTAGAGGGGTGTGGCTGTAGGAGACTTTGGTCCAGGAGTATCCAGCACCAAGCCATGTTGGCAGGGAGGAAAAGGGACACTGCCCATGTGCCAAGTTAATCCCTACCACGTGCATGCAGCCACCTCAGTGCTTGCTGGGAAGTGCTTGCAGTCCCTTTTACACCTTTCCACCTACCTGTTACTCTAATCTGTTCTTGCATGTCCTTTCTGAGCAAGAAGGAACATGCATCCCATGGCTCCTTGGGCTGCTTTGTGTTTGAGGTGAATTAAGGACTGTTGGTAGTAATGCAGAGGCAGGAGGCTCACTAGCTGGAAACTGCTTTCTCTGTCAGTTCTGCTCAGTTTCTGTCTGCCTGGCCTCACAGGGTGGGCCCTGAGAGGACTGGACTTTGGTTTGCTTTCTCCCCATTGAAGAAAAATACCTGGCTGAACGTGACCTTTCTCTTGAATTGTTTCTGTATTTCTCCCTGCTGAGAGACTTCCACAGTTACTGCAGAGCTGTCATGTTGTTCAGGGCTGGGTGGATGGGCTGGTGCCTCGGGTGGATCTGTCCCCATGCTGGGTTCAGGGATACACCAGGAAACCCTTGAATACTGAAGCTCTGCAGTGAGAAAAGGATCGACTGTAAACTGCCAGCAGTTTGGCTTGATTTTTTTTTTACTACAATAGATGAAACTTTTAAGACAAACACTCCAGTCACAGTTTGATCTGTAATTTGTTTGAGCACACAAATGTTTCCATTCCAATGACAACTTTTCCAGGCCGATTTGGGTGGGACAAGATGGACATCTAGTGGCTGTTGGGGCCATTGTGGCATTGCTGAGTACCTCAGCAGCAGCAGAAGCTGCAGACTGAGCAGTCCTGCCTGCTGCTTGGCTGCGTTTCCTGATTTGATGTACTTATAGGGGATGTTTCACAGCAGTGTGGTTACAGAGCTCTGATATTTTGGGAAAAGCCAAGCAGCTGTTTTGCCTGCATTTATATATCAAATTCCAGTTTGGCAGGAGCTGCAGTCCAGTTTGGAGATGCACCCTGAGGGAGACAAGTTGCCATGGATAAAAAGATATTGAGGTCCAGATTTGCATCTCCTCCTGGCTCCATCACAGAGGTTCTAATAGCAGAACCTCTCGCAGAACTGGAGGAGGAGGTGGCTGCTGCTCTTGTGTGCTGGCACTGGGGAGCTGAGTGTGAGTTTGGGAAGCTCTGTCCAGCCAGTGGTGAGCATGAGCTCCATCCTTGGCAGCGGCTGTGCCAGTGAACACACCCTGCCCTGCCTGCTCTTCCCAGAGCTTCACTGGGGAAGGCTCCAAGAGAGCCTTTGTCTGTGAGCAGACAGAGGGGAAGGATGGAGAAGGGGGAGAATTGCCATGACTTATTTGCTCTGTGTGTCTGTTGCTGAAGCCTGAGGATTTATGTGTGAGAGCAATAGCTAGTGCTGGAACGTGGCTGAGCAATAAAACATCTTCTTCCTGAGCTGGTGGAGAAAGCCACAGGGGTGTAGCTGAGTGGGGTGAGCTTTAAGCATATCATGAACTGCAGCTGGCTCAGCTCATGCTTGCACACACATGAGCAATTTTGAGCTATTTTGGTTTGAGTTTTTACCAATAGGTTTCTAGGTTTATCTCATAATTTCTTTCCATCAGGGTGAATGTCCTTCAGTTCCATGTTTGAGGACTGTGTTGGACTCCACATCTTGAAAATGCTTGTGCTTTTAACCCCACTGCTTTGAAGTGTTTTCTGTCTCAGCTGGTCTGCAGCCCCAGGTCCCAAGGGGCTGGGATTTGAGGAGTTCATGTGTTCCAATGTGTGTTTATATGTCTGTGCACGTGGAAGTTGGGGAGGACCTGGATTCCTGCTATGTGGTGAAGAGGAAGTCATGGGTATGGAGTGTACCAAGAGGGAACAAAGACATATTTTAAAGTGCTGAGAGTTAATTGCTTCAGGTGACAATGAGTGTCCTATCTCCCAGAGGAATTGCTTCTCTGGAGTTCCTGACAGTGCCTTTTCCCTCCAGAACTGGAGCCATCCACATCGGGGACCGGATCTTAGCCATCAACAACGTGAGCCTCAAGGGCAAGCCGCTGAGCGAGGCCATTCACCTGCTGCAGATGGCGGGGGAGACCGTCACCCTCAAGATCAAGAAGCAGACAGAGAGTGAGTTGAGGAGCTGGGGTGGGCAGGGGGAAGGCTCACCCCAGCAGGGACCCTGGGCCATGGAGCAGGCACTGCTGGGGGGTTTCTGTGCTGTTGTGGGAGGTGAGGCAGTGTGGTCATGGCCATGGCTGGGCACAGTGGGAAAAGGTGTGTTTCTTGAACTTCGGACTCACAGATGAAGAAAAGGCAACCCAAAGCCTCTCTGTGGTTATGGTAAGAGATGAAACAGCAGGTTTATTGGCAATAGTAGTTTTTAATTCAGATTGACACCTTGTACTGTTGTTGCCATTCCCTGTCTGTCTCAGTGTTTCACACAGAAGTAAAGCAGAAGTTAATTTTAGAAGTATAAGAATGTGTTTGGGTTTTTTTTGTAAATATAACCCCACTAAATGAGCAAAGAGACTCTGAGTTGGTAGAATCCATGAATTCCCCACCCCCGTCTTTAATTCAACTTTTTAAACACAGTTGGCAATAAATCTGTTACACCTCTTTTTCTGGCTTGGGGTTCTAAGTCCATCTTTCAAAGCATCTAACTTCATTCTAGGGATTCCCTTCTGGTTTTCCTGCCAAGCTCCCTGTGGCTTTGAAGCTGTTGTTGACATAGTATAAAAAAGCAGAAGCATACTTAGTACTGGCAGGTCACTGGTTTTTGGAGACAGAAGGACGATCGGAAAAAAAGAGGGATCATGCAAACTTTTCTCCCTGACTGCATGATAGCAGCCAAACAGGGGCTTTTATTTACATTCAGGAAGTACCAGGTGCATTCTGGCTTCATTTTAGTCTCTCCCAGCCCCAGTATTTTATTTTTTTTTAGTGTGATGCTTCTGCAGTCTGTAGTTTTGGCTGGACTTCCCCAGCCAGTGGCCCACAGTGCTGTGGAAATCAGAAGAAATCAAGAGATAAAGCTTTTCCAAGCAAATGTGGCCCTTGGGATGCCTGTCCTGCATCTGAAAAAGTGACATCACTCTTAAACATAGAACTTCTGTAGACCTCAAAGCAGTTTGAAGATGTGTGGCAAATGCACCTGTTTTACAAATGGATGAAGACTGGGCAGGGAGTAGGGATGTGGCAAACAGAGGCAGAACTGGGGAATTGATTCCTCTTCAGGAAGCCCCAGTCTCTTCCCCTGTAGCCAAATGTCTTGGTCTTTGGTCTGAAATGCTCTTTTTTCCCCCCTGCTGACACTTAGCATTGTCACAGCCACTTGGTGAAATAATTGACATGCAAGTGCCTGTTGGAAACTCGTTAATCATTCTGAGAATGAAGCAGGTGTAATTGAAATTTCAAGGTAATCTTGAGTTAATCATGGTGAGCAATCTTCTGGAGGCTTGGAAAATAGGGACTTTCAGGACACTGGGCTCTGTTTGCTAAAATAATCTGTCCTCATTGACAAATGCAGACTTTCAGAAGGCTTTTTATCCCACAGGTCAGAGATCCTGGTGGTGGATGGCTAACAAGATATCTAATCAACAAGGACTTTAAAATATTCAGTACAAAGAAGTGCTTGTGCTGTGAAATCATTCTTTGCATAGCTTTTGCCTGAAAGGAAATTTGATATAATGATAATAAGGGCCTGTTAGCACTAAAATAATGAAAGGGAAGGTCTGAGCTTTGTCATTCACATTCAGCTCCCATTTTCCAATCACTGATCAGGGGAAATTCCACACCCAGGAATTCCACCATTGTCACACTTGTGGGAGACTCTGGAGAGGTGGTGATCAGCTTTGAGTTTTTATGAAGCTGTACAGTCGTAGAAGAGGGTTGAAACTTCAGCAGTGGTGGATGCCATTGGATTAAAACATCTGTTTGTAGCTGAGTTTGCAGCCAGCACCTGCCCTGGTGCTGCTCTGAGTATAAAGGAGGCCCCCTGAGACCAGAGAAGCTACAGGATGTTGCTTGCAGGAGCCAACACTTCTCTGGGCAGGGCTTCTTTGGAGGAAGCTTCCAAAGGCACAGGAAGATGAATTGATTTAGGCTTGTGAATTGATTTAGGTCCCAACTCTTTCATATGTGGTAATCCTCAAATCCCCATGGCTGCTCCTTGTATTCCATGTGCTAAAAATTCAGAAAGGCATTTTTTCTTGATTCAGCTTGCGATAAGAGTAATGCTTTAAATCCTTTCAGCTTCATTGCACATGTCTTTCTCAGCTACTTTTGAAGAGCTAAAGAGGTACTTAAAAAACTTACAGTACCTGGGCTTGCTCCTGTGTCAGCATAAGCTTTTCCCTGAGGCTTACTCCTTGTGCCTGCTAAAACAGGATGTTCTGGTTGCAGAATCCTACCCCAAGAAGTCGGGGAGCATTAATGAAGTAAGCGACCCAGAGGATGAGCTGACAGACTCCCAGAAAACTAGCAAGCTGTCTGAGATATACTCCACCACAATTCCAAGTGTGGACAATACTGTGGAGTCCTGGGATGGCTCTGCCATTGATGCTGGGTATGGAAGCCAAGGTAAGCCAGGGCTGTGTTTTCTTTGGGGGCTCTGCTCTGTCTGGGTCTTGTCTCCAAACATGAGCCAAATCCTGTGGCCTGACCACATTTGTGTGGCTTCTTGCTTCCAGAAAGGAACAAAATGTATTTTAGAAAGGACTCATGTGGTGCCTGAGAGTTGGTGTATCTGTTTAGGCTTTTATTGGCACATTTTTTTCTGGTTTATATGGCATCATACTGTTCTCATCATTTTCAGAACCATTACAGCACTTTATAATTTGCATAATCAGAGACACTATTCACTGGCCATATGCTTCACAGAGTATTTGGTCCGTAACTCACTTTTATTTCTCCAGAGAGGCCCTGTAGGACATAATAATCTTCTTCAGGATATTTTAAAATCCACAAGAATATCTTGTGACTAGAAGCACTTGCTTAACAAAATAATTAAGGTAATACTACAAGAAAGTATCCCTAACTCTCTAGTGAGTGATCAGATGAACACGTGTCTTTGAGGTTAGATTTATTCAGCTGTAGCTTCTAGCAGATGTGGAACTGGAATTTAGGATACTCTAGTCATGGGAATATATTTTTACTTGGAGAAAAGCACTGGAAAACAGCTATATCAGTTCAGATTTAGTGATGTAAGCTAGCATTAGCCTGTGTTGAAACAAACTAAAATCCTGAATCAACGCTGTAACAGGAAACTGGTAGAAAGACTCCTGTCCAGAACAGAATGTGAAAACAAGGAGGATGCTGCAGCTGCTGCTGCAAAGTGTGAGTGTGCTGTGCTCGCTGCACTCCGGCCAAGTCCAAAGGACAGCACTGCCCAGGTTCTCTTTCCCCATCCCTGCATCTTCCTTCAGCCTCTGCTCATCTGAAGTCTTAATCTGGGAACACTGTTGGAACTGGAGGATTCATTAGGGAGGAATCCCCTGGCCTTCATAATGCTGCAATCCTTCTCCATCTAATTGAATGTTAACACAAGTTGGACACTGGGAAATGATTGCTTTGCCGGTAAATTGAGAACAAGTAATTGAGCACAGCGCCCCAGGGAGCAGGGCTGGTGCCAAGTTGCCCAAGATCTACACACTGCAACTTTGCTTCAGGGGCTCTCTGTTTTTGCTGGTAATTGCATTTGGCTTCATGGTGGTGCAGTGGTGCTGGATGGGAAGGGAGTGCTGGAAGGTAGGGAGAAGGGCATGGAGGGTTGGGCACAGAAGGCAGGGTGCAGGGGGACCTGGGAATCAAAGAGCCAGGAGATTGGGGGTTACACCCCAAATAGATCAGAGCTCCACAGCCATGCAGGCTTTTAGGTTCATCCACAGCAGTAGGAGATGGCTCAAGGAAGGATTTTGGCAGGGAAGCTGTGCTGGGCCTGGTGGGAACATGCCACCAGGTGGCTCTGAATCCCAGGGATCCAGCCCTTCTCTCTGGAAGCCGGAGGTGAATCTACAATGATGCCAAGAGACTGCTCTGGACACCTGTCCCTGTGCCAGGCCCAGACCTGCTGCCCACCTGCTGCAGGGACCTGCATCCAGAGCCCTTGTCCTGCTCTGGCAGGCAGTGAGTGCTTCCCACTGCTCCAAGATGTTGGCAAGCAGTTTTCCTGGGGCTTTCTTCAGAGAAGTCTAACCTTTAAAAACACACAGAGGAAACAATCAGTTAAGTGAAATAACAGGCCTTGGCATTTTCAGAGAAAGTGTTGGCATAGTCTTTGGGTATTTCCAGTGTTTAGGACATCAAGTCTCCCTTAATTACAGGTTTCTCCATTACTTCTTCCTGTTTGCTTGGCACGGCGTGTGATGGGAGCGTACAGTGTTTCTTGGAAAGGCTCTGAGTATTTCTCTGAAACACTGAATGGGCAGCAGGAGGTGGGCAGGGGACCTAGGAGATTTATTTCTACTCCAGATGGCACTGAAACTGCTGAGGAATGGTCTGTTTTGAAAGTTTTCTGTTTAGCCAGCTTCTCATGAGACTTGTGACTTGGTAGTGTAGGCTTTCATCTCTGGAGTAAGACACTGCAGTATGGAAAAGTCCATGGGGGCAGATGTAGTGAAACTTGTCTGATTTCATACTAACAGTCTGTATTGATCTCCTGTCAAATGTGATATAGATGAGCCTCCTCTGCTTTCAAGCCAGCAGAGTTTTTTATCCTATTCCTTGCCTTTCACACACACGTCCCTGAAGCAGCTTCCTGTACCTACACCAGCTGATCCCAAAGGCATGGGAATTCTGAGAGAACTGGCTGGCAGCTCTTAGGATCAGAGCTGACCCTTCCTCATTACCACTGCTGAGGGAAGCTTGTCAGGATCTGCCCTTTGCCCTTTGAAGAACTTGTTGTATTTAAAGGTGGCTGATTGAACAACATAATTTCTGCTGGGTTCATTGTGGAAACAGGAGCTGTTAACCACAGCTGGAGCTGGCTGGAGGCAGGGTCTGCATCTGTGGGTATGTGTACTCCCAGGTCTGTGGATCCCAGAGCCACACCATAAAACTACTGAGAAGCAGGGGAGGAAAGGAGAAACGGGACATCCCATGTCAGCATCCTGAGAAGCTGCTTTGGTTAAAGCCAGAAGAGATTGGATGATCTGCTTTTGGATGACTGAGATGGAAAGTGTATAATCCATGTGACCTCATGTTTGGGACCTAGGGAAGGAGGCTCTCCCAGCTCTGCATGTCCTGCTTCATTTGGGGTTTCTGACCAGGTATTGCCCTCTCTCTTCCTCCACTCCTTCTGCCTTCCCTAGGTACGTACATACCCCAGGCTGCTGGCATAGCCCTCCATCCACACGAGTGGAGACACAGCAGGCAAAAGAGCAGCACCCCTCCAGCAGACCCCAGGAAAAGCTACCCCTACATGGATGGGAGCTTCAGTGAAGATGACTGGGACAAGCCCAGCAGGTACGGAGAGGTGGGAGGAGGCAGGGAGGTGTTGGGAAGTATGGGTGTCACTGCACAGGGATAAGGGGGGCATGGGAATGTGATGGAGCGGCCACTCATGTCCCAGTTGGCATCAGACAACCATGGGGAAGGATGCTGGTGGTGCACCAGCTGTGTTGGGTCACCTCCACATTGCCAGGTTACCCCGAGTGTAGCTCTGTGACACCTCTGCCATGGCCAGGTGACGTTTGTGTCTGGAGTTAGGGTGATCTCAGCTGCACGGACCACAGCTTCCTATCATGTTTCTTAGTCCTGTCATGTAAAGGCTGCAGTATTTTTGTAGTTTTGGTGAAATAAATAGATATGGTCAGGACTGTCCCTGTGCATGTTGGCCAGACTTTTTTGAGTTAGGATGCAGCTTCAGTGCCACAAAGCAAAAGAGCACAAAGTAACCAGATTCTTGCAGGACCAGTATGAGGTTACATATCCATGTTAAAATCCACCAAAACTGTGGCTGGATTCTCTCTCTATCACACTTTGGCCCTTCCAACACCTCAAACAAAGCTATACTGAGTGAACATGGTCAAGTTAATCCCCCAGCTCAACCAGATTGGGGAAAATGCTGTAACACCTCCTGAGGCCAGGGAGGCAGCTGCAGCTGTCCTGTGCTTTGGGTGAAAATCCTGCTGGATCTGCTTTGGCCAGAGACTGCCCCTCACTGAGCCACACATAATGGAAAAGCCCCATTGCTTCAAAACTTCCCCTCCCCTCGACATCCTCCAGAGTCCCCATAGTTGTGTGTGTTGTGTTGTTACTGTCGGTTCTTTTTTCTCCTATTTTTTTTCCTTAACTTTTGTTTGTCCAAACAAAACCCTTAGAACATCTCATGGCCATTTCCACCTATTTAAAGATGATCAAGCTGGCAGGAAGGCTGGCAGTGCTGGAGACTTTGTTCTTGTTTTGCCTCTCAGCGAGAGCCAGCTCACAGAGGTCACTGATCCCTCGTGGCCCTCCCAGCAAGGCTGCTGGCAGCTGAAGTTGGCAAATCTGAGCCCTCAAAATCCCCATGTCCCTAATGAGGACTCCGAGCCCTGATGTCAAAGTGCAAGTGAGATGGTTCATGCTGCTGACCCCTCTTTATTAGAGAGAAAAACAAACCCTGACAGCCTTTAGCCTGGAAGAACCTGCTGACCCAGTGATGTGGGAGCCCATTCTGATTCATCTGTGTCCTGGATGTGTTTGTGTATTGCTGCTCTGAGAGGCAAGACACTGGTAACTAGAAGGGACATTTGCCTCTTTGGGAACCTGGAAGCAGAGGAAGGAAATGAGTAAAGGGAAAAAATCAAAAATTCCTTTTTGGGGGAAATTTTGGTTTGTTTTTATAAAGTCTTGCTGGGTGTTTATTTGATGTTTCTGCCTGGCGTAAAGGCTACTGTCCTTTAAAAGCTGATGAAAGATAGGGGGTGAATTTAAAATACAATGAGCCATGTCATGTACTGCTCTCTTCAGGAAGTCCATGATCCCACAAGGAGCAAAAGGGTGTGTGAGTTTCTGCCTGCTACAGACTCCCATTTAAACCAGTGGATCAAAGGAAAATGTGTGCTAAAGACTTCACTGTTGTTAAACATCTGGAAAAAGACCAAGGGGTCATTATATATTTAATGGAGGCCAAGCTCTCTGTGACATATACTCAAGTAAATTGTTTTGACTTTGCTGTGTGGCTGTGGTGGATGAGTGTCCCTTCCTGTCTGTGGAGCTGAAGGAAATTTTTTGCATAAAACCATGCAAGATAATACCAGATGGTGCAGAGCTGGAGCATCATCAGTGCAGCTCCTTGTAAGATATGTGCAAGATGTGTTAGGGCTGCTGTGATATTACTGTCCCCTTGGGGCTCTGCACATGACCCATCAGTGGGTTTATCATGATCTTGATTTAACACCACAGAGAGTTTCCTTTGAGAGGCTCCCGTTAAACAGAGCACTGGTGGTCTGAGTTCTGCAGTCTGGTGTTCAGTAAACAGTGTCCAGCATTACCTGCTTTTTTGTTCAGAGGATTTCACCATGTTTAATTGCTGTTTGGTTTAGAGGTATGAGAATTGACCCTGGCTTGTGGTCAGAGATAAAAAGTCAAGGTGGGGAATTGCAGAACCCCCAGCACATGGTGTTCACATTAACGTGTGTTTGTACCAGCTTGAGAGAGGTTCTCTCTAACCTTACTCTCTGTTGTAGACAGAACTGGTGGCAAACTTTACACAGCTGTAAGTGCCAAGACTGCTATACAGCAAAAAAAAGAGAGACCTCCTGAAAGTAACAGCTCAGTTCCCTGGCCATCCCAAAGCAAATGAAACTCGGTTTGTATGGGTTGAACATGACACTGTTGATACTACTGGCTGTAGTGTGCATTTGCTTGTCCAGCCCAGGGCAGTCATTTTTATATACATCTTTGCATTATTTACTCTCATAGAGACCTAATGTATTTATCATTTTCTCACCATGTCTGTTACCCTCTGTGTTTTTCTCTCTCTTCTCAGGTGTTCTGTGTCTCAGATCTGAGCTCTATCCCATCAGCCTTTGTACTAACAGTCTCTGAGGCTCCTGGTTTACCCATAACGCATCCTTTTTTCTTTCACTTCTCTATTTCACCAAAAAGTCTTCCTAAACCTACAATCTTCCTACAGGCACTTTTTAATTTACCCTTTGAACTTTGACATTACTACACCAACTTAATGCTTCCTTTGAAGGACACTTGCCCCGTTAGTAAATGCATGGAGGTCTCGTATGTGGACTCTTGTTTGAAAAGTTCATATTGTTTGCTTTTGTATATGAAGACTCTTCAAGTCTGCTTTTACTGGTGAGACACTTGCTGTAGCCTTGCAGCTTTCACCCCGCTGCAGAAGAGTGCTGACAATATTTGGTTCCTACGTTACAACAGATACCCCAACCGCCAAAATGGCCTTGAGACCACTCATGAGGACAATTTTTGGCGTGTTTTTGGAGAAGCTTTGGAGGATTTGGAAACATGCGGCCAGTCTGAACTTTTGAGGGAGATTGAGGTAAATCACTTTCTGAATTTGCTGCTGACCTGACGGTTTTGCTCTTTCCATAAATGTTAGACCGTTTCCCCAGATGTTACTTGCCCATAGCATCCCTGAGCTGCTGGTGGTGTGAAGTTGGGTTTGGGTTTAATTCCCACCAGGATTTGTGCTAATGGGTAGCTCTGCCTCATTAGACGTCTGCTGGCGTGTGCTCTTTCCCTGAGCCCATGTCTTGCCTGCCAGGAACTCCACGCCCTTTTCGCGAACCGTCGCTGGCCAATAATCTTCACATGACTGTTGGCAAGCCTTCCCTATCCAGTGGTAATCCCTCTGCTTGGAAAGATATTGTCTGTCCAAAGCACTTGAAGGCCGAGGAGAAGGAGCCCCACAGATCCCCATTGGGACTGCAGCCTTGGCTTGCCTCAAGTGCTGACAGGCACACGTATCTTGCATTCAGCTGTCACTCTGCCGGAAAATGTTTCAGTGAAATAGGGAATTGGAAGCTTTTCAGCCAGCCTTCCCCATGGAAAAATCTGAGAAAGTAATTGCTTCCTGCAGAAATAAAGGTGTTTCCTCCCTTCACAAACCACTTTCTCTTTTCTTTATCCAAAATGCTTTGGAGGTCATGTTATTGTGTCCGGTTATAGGATGAGGAGCCTGGATTTCTAAGTCATGGGATGCAAATAAAGGGCCCCCTTGAGACTATGAGCAACAGGAAGCAAACCTGCCTGGCAGGATGGGGCCTGTGCTGCTCCCTTCCCTAGTTCTGCTCCCACAGCCTGAGTGAAGGAGGAGAACCCCATAAGACCATCTCTCCCTGTGCCCTCCAGGTGCAGAGGACTGGGGAGGACTCTCTGGGTCATGCCCTCCATCATTCCCTGTGGGGCTGGTTTTATGTACAGTTGCATATTGCTGAGGCTTCAGAGAAAAAAGGCAACTTCTGACTAATTGAAGGTCAAAGAGGGAAGTCCTGTTTTGCTTTGTATTGTGACAAGGGATTTGCTAATTGTCCTTTCCTCCTTGATCCTTAGCACCTGTAAGTGGAGAAGGAAATTTCAATTAAATTTATTGTGCTGAAGCATGGAATGCTGTTTTTATTATCTTAACTGCTTAAGAAAATGCTGACTTAAAAAAACCCCACAAAACACTCAAAACCCCAAATCCCCAGTCCTCCCAGACTATAACTTTTTCCCTTGATCACTTATTTCCTGGATCTGAATGTATTTAGAAATGAGTTTAGGCAGCTGTTCCAAATCTTTCTGAACAGCTGTTGACTGCTTTAGAGAAAGTACCTCTCTAAAATGATGCATAAATATTTCTTTTCTGCTGGTATCTAAATGCAAAAGAAGGGATTTGTTGGACTCTGTTTTGTTTTCCAGGATCTGTGGTACAATTGCTGTTTTATTCTGTTTGGAGCTTTGACAGTTACAGAAATGTTTTTAAACATGTGAAGGAATCTTAGTAAAAGCTGAGCACCTCCAGGGTTTCAGTGTATTAAGCACATTTCTAGAATATTTTGAAAGTTTTGGGGACAGAAGGGAAGTCTCTGATTTTAGCAGGAATCTGTTGGGTTCAATTCCGCTTTTATCAAATTCAAAATGTTGCTGATCTATTCCTGCCTCTCCATGTGCTTCACTTTCTGAAGTGTGCTGCAGGATGTGTAGCACTCACTGGGGCCTTTTCTGTATTTCAGCTTTCTTATCCCAACACTCAGCCTCCTGTGATTTTATGACAGTCAGAGATTTGTTTTGTTCGTATTTTTTTTAAAAAAATTGGCTCTTCATACTTTGCTCTTAAATGAGAAGAAGAGTTGTGCAAGGTGACCCATGATTGCCTAGGAACAGGTTCACACACAGTTGGAATCCTCTTCCAGGCTGTGACTATGGGAAGCAACAAACTTTTCCCAGTAAAGAGTGTGTCTCCGCTTTGCTCTGAGGGCAGCCAAGGCAGTAAAAATAATGCAGAGCAGAGAGAGGCTGGAGAAGTCTGAAATTGCCCTTTTTGCTGCTTGCACTAAACCTAAAGCTTATGGAAAAAAACGTAGGAAATTGCTTATGACTCTGCACGGAGGATTTAAATGCCGTGAAGATGGAGAAGGACGCTTTTGGGTCCTGGTTGGTTGTGGTGTCTGCAGCTCGTGGGGAAGGGCAGTGGCATGGAATGCACAGACCTTTCTGTCCTCCCTGTGCTGGGACAGCACAGCACAGCATCCTGGGGGCTGAGGCTACCCGAGGGCAGTGACCAAAGGTACCCTGGCTGGCTGTGCTGTTGTTTGTTAGTCTGCCTTTCAAGTATGTGGTAAGTCAGTGTCCTTCCACGTAGCAGGTATTTGAGTTTTGCCCAAACTTGAGCTGATCAAGTCATGTGTGAAGACTTGAAAAGTGCAAAGCTGAAAGGTTTTCTGCATTTTATCCAACTCTTTTTGAGATAACATGGGTAGTGCTCGCATTTTCCTACTACCACCATAATTCACTTTATTTGCCTTTGTTCTGCCTTGGAGCAAAGAGCTGGAGGGTCTTAATTAGAGATTTAATTGGATGATATTTCTCCTATGCACAGGAGCAATTGCTCTTTGACTTAGCACATTTAGTGTTGAAGAATTTTGCTGTCTGCTCCTTACCTTTCCTTTCATTTCTTCTACCTTTTGACATTTATTGGGGCTGCAGACCCTTTGAACCTGAACTTTGAAATTACAGGTTTCATTATGCTGTTTAAATGGACTCTATGACCTGAAGCCAGTTGAGGTTCCACAGACTAGATTCTTGACTCCTTTGTTAGCTTTGATCAACATAATCTCATTAGAGAAAAGCATTGCCAAATGGAGTTGAATCTACTTAGGGGCATCTTTTAATGGATGCTATCAAGGATGACCAGGCTTAAATACTACTTAATTTCATATTTTTAACTCAGTTTTGCTCAGTGGCAGTTCCTATTTACTGACAGATAAAATCCTAATTTTTGTGCTGAATTGCCCTCGGTGGAGTCCAAGGCACTGATTCCCCTGGGCCATTGCCAGCACTGTGTGATGCTGGAGGGGAGCTGCAGCCTGCAGAGGTAGGCTGGAGAGCCAAGCAGACACTGTTCCTCTGGGAGCTTCCTGAGGAAGCTGATCCTGAGATCAAGATGGTTCATGCACAAGATGAGGCCTGCCTGGCCCTGTTTGTATAGAAGGGTCTGTGTAAAAATAAGACACAAGTGCTTCCTTCTGAGATTAAGCTCCCTGTTGGGGTGAGAGTGGAGAGCACAAAGTGCCTCAGCCACAGACCTGGAATGGCCTCCAAGGTCTGGGAATGGCTCTTACAGCCAACAGGAGGAGCTTCTTGGTACTTATATTCAGATTAATGAGAGCAGTGGTGCTGCCGTGTTGTCTGTGGCGCTTTAGCGGCTGAGTGGACCGGCTCTTCCTGCTGCTGACTCCGCAGAGTGACCTTGTGCCCTCGCCCTGCAGGCATCCATCATGACAGGGAGCGTGCACAACCTGGGCCTGGAGGGCAGCAAGCTGCTCCTGGACTCTGTCAACCCCTCGGGAATGAGCCCACTGAGGAAGGCCAACTCCAGCTGCACCGACGGACAGACTGAGGGCAGCAGCTCCCCTGCCAAGAAGAACGAGAGGAACCTGGACATGAAGAAGATCGAGAAGGAGATGCAGGAAATCATGTCCCCGACCCCCCTTGAGTTTCACAAGGTTTGTGTCACCAAGGGAGGGTGTAGCTGTGGCACTGCAGTGCCTCAGTGGTTAAAGCTGTAGATCCTTTGCAACCTTGTAAAAAATCTGTTTTGCCCAGATGGACCAGGTATTGGTCCTTGTTAAAGCTGCCCCTCACCAAGGTCTGTAGAAAAGGTTTCTGGAAGGTCAGATTAAGGTGAAGGAGACCCTTCAGAAGAGTAATGGTATTTAGCTGCCATCATTCAGCAGGGTTCAAACCTGGACTTTGCTATTTCTCTTTATATATAAAGATTTCCAGGTCCCTGTGTTTTGGAGTTTGTTAATTGGTGCTACAGATAAAAGTGAGAGAGCTCAAAGTATGGCCCCCTGGAGACCCATCAGCTCTTTTCTTGTGGTACACTCCATTTAGTAGGCCACTTCTCAAAAAAAACTACTTATTTTCCCTCCACTTTAACTCCACTTTGGTGATGGGATACTGGTTTGATTTCAGCATCCAGCTGAATGTAGCCAGTTTAACCATTGTGCAAGGCAATGGTAATTAGGAAAAGTAATTAACTGTAGAAGCTGCTGATGTAGAATGCAAGCAGGGAAGGGAGCTGGAGAGGTTTCAAATATTTGATTGCCTTTTTCTTTCCTAATGTGACTTCAGAACGAAACCTGCAGTTATGCTAGCTGGAAAAATCAACTTTTTCATGTTTGATCTGTGTTTGCCCTTCAGGGCATGGCAAATATGTCTTTAAATAAAACTCCTTGGTACCTGAAGGAGGAGAGCTTGTAATTAGGCATGTTATAGGGTGACTCTTCATTCTGCTGGAGCATCTGGTGTTGGCTGTGTTTGGAAATGAGGTTGAGGGCAGGTGGGATACCTCCTGTGTGTCATCCTGAGCATTGTCCTTCCCCAGGACCGCAGATCCATGAGGCTCACCCAGCCAGGAGAACAGTCATGGAGTGTGATCCATGGTAGATATGCTCCCAGCTCATGGGAGGCAAGGGGAGTGTTGGGGAATCAGTTGTCCCTGGTTCCCAGTGTTATCCCATGGCAAGACACACTTCAGCAGAGATCTCCTCCTTTAGACAAGGCCAAAGCATGATGGTGCCCAAGGGAAGGTTGATGAGGTTGCTAATTTCTTGTCCTCAGAGCATCAGCACTTACTGATAAGAATTTTCTGAAAAAAACTTGTGAATAATATGGAAAATTTTAGATGTTCCTGCTGAGTAGTGTATTAAAAATGAGCTGTCTTCACATTTGACTCACTACATTTAAAATTCCCAGTAAAACATGTTGATTTTTCATGTGCTGTTCTGGCACACACAGAGGACACACAGCATAACCTGGCCCAGTGAAGGCGATGCTCCATTAAAAGCACTTGTTTGCTGCTCTTTGGGTGAAACATGAGTGCTGTCTGTATTCCACTGCTCGTGTTTCCTTCCACATCCAAGGCTGAGGGACTGTCATGGGGCTGAAAGCTATTCTCCTGTGATGATGGTGTCAGGTAAATAAGGCTCCGTCTGTGTTACCTGCCCAGGCTAAGAAAAACCTGCCCAGGGGACCTGTAGATCTGCACAAATTACTCATGCTGCTCCCATCCTGTCAACCTTGTACATCCCCTCCTTACTCTGCTGCACTGAAACCTGCTTCTTCTCTTTCTGCCTCTCCAGATGACACTGCACAAAGACCCAGAGAGCGAAGACTTTGGATTCAGTTTGTCAGATGGCCTGTTAGAAAAAGGTGTCTATGTAAATATGGTCCGTCCGGATGGGCCAGCAGATCAGTGTGGCCTCAAGCCATATGACAGAGTGCTTCAGGTAATAAATGCAAAATGCAGTTCTGGAGGCTGGGACGGAGTGAATGAGTGGCTGAGAGGAAGAGAGAAGTGAGACCCATCCATGGCAGCACTAACTTTAATGAAAGGTAATAGTTAGCCAACTAGGTGAGCTCTTAGCCACCAACATTCAATGGGACCTGTGTTTTATAATAAGAAATCACTAGGTAGTACCTCCAGGTGGTACCCCAGGTGGTGCTCCTAGGTTACACTGGTCCAGGGCACAGCCTGTTCTGGCACTGGCCTTTTTGAGCTTGGACAGCTCAAAACAAGCAAAAAGCTCTGTTGCTTCCTTTCCTCACCCTCAGTCCTATTCCTGGTATTTGGATGAACCAGACTGTATTGACCAATATGTGTTCCTGTGAAGCCCCTTGTGGAATTAAGTGATGTTCATGAAGTTCTGTGCATGCCTTTGACAACTAGAAGAGTTTTCTAGGAAACACATTCTTCAAGCAAGGTATTTTTTATGGATATTTTTCTTTGAAAAATGCTTCATCTGAAATAGCTGATGCAGAAACAGAATAAAAACTCTGGTCAAAAGCACAGTCTGTACTAAATGTGCCCTGGGCATATCGGACAGAAAGGGACAGAAAAAGCCTGGTGAGTTTTGGAGATTGGAGAGAAGCTCTGTGTGGATGAAAACCAACTATTTTAGCTTTGGGGCAACTCAAACAGCAACTGAAGGAAGTGCAACCTCTGTGGAAAAATTGCCACCATTTGGAAATGCAGATATTGTGACCATATTTGGAAACACTCAGATGTTTAGTTTTACTAATTTCTAGGCGGGGGTTCTTAGCAGTCGGATTAGAGCCAATACTTTATGTACATCAGGTAACTGGAGGACTGGCAGCACTGTGGGGAACCTTGTTTAAGCTTGTTATGGTCTCTAGCCAGCTGGCTGCTATACAATTATTCCTTCTCAGCTTCAAATAAAAGATGGTGCAAGAATGAACAAGAAGCTAATTAGGCTCTGGGCTGCCTTTCTGTACAATGTTGGACGTGTTGCTTTTTTGCGAGTGCCAAGTGCTCTGGGAGGTGTGCCCAAAATCCTAAACAGAGCGGCGTGGAGACTTTGGACACCCTTTTTCCACACGCTGTGCCGCACAGCTCACACCTGTGGGCACACGAGGCTGCCACTGCGATTACGAGTGGAGCTGGGAGCGAGGGATTGCAGACGTGCCATAGGTGACTCCCCTCAAGAAGTGCAGAGATGAATTGCTGAGGATGCTGCAGAGTGCTGCTGATTGTGGGCACAAAGATGTGCCTGAAAGCCAGTGAAACACCTCATCCCTGCTGTCACAGACCCCCTGCCTCTTGGCTGCATGGATTAACTGGAGCATGGCATTGCACTTGTGGCACTTCTGCACTGGAGCTGCCTGGCTGGCACAGAGCAGGGGCAGAGCCAGCTCGTGGTTTATCTCTCCTTGTCCATGAGTGGGCTGCAAATTGTCCCTCTGCTGTGAGGGGCAGTACTGGGGTCTCTGTGCAGACACTGGCTAGGGTGGGGGGACACTGCTGCTTTCATGGACCCAGCACTGTGGGCATGCATTAACTCTGGGAAAGGGGCTTGGGATGGAAGGGTTGTATGAAGCCAGATACTCAGCCCTTACCCAAAAAAGGAAGCAAAACCTGGCCTCAGGGGTTATGTTCACTCCAAAGGCGTATGGGCAATTGCTTTTCCCCTTCCCCACTTCCCATCCCTGTGCTATTTGCCAGCCTGCTCTGTCCCAGGGCTGTCATGGCACCAAGCCCAGGTGTTCTGGTAGCTGTAGGCAAGAGAGCTGGGGTGGTTTCTCCAGATGACCCAGCCTAGAAATGTGCTTGAAGGTCTGCAAGAGCCATCAGTAATTGCTTTCACTGTTGAATCCTACAGAGAGAATTTGCAGCTGCCTTCTGAGCCCACATGAAATGCATCCAGACTCCTGTGAAATGACGGATATAAATGGGGAGAGGGGAAGCAGAAACTGTTTGGTACATTCTGGGTTTACCTCTGGCTGAGCTGGAAAATGGTTGCCAGAAGCCTTTATTTGTTTTCTATGTGCTGAATACTTGGCACCGCTAATTTAAGGCCAGTAAAAGCCATTATGGCAAAAAAATAATGGAAAATGGCAACATTTTTTTCTACAGGCTTGAGCAGGAGAACTGGTTTTGAGCCCTGCAGTGTTTAATACTTGTAATACTGCTCCAGGCACCGGGGATGAGGGTTCATGCCTGGTCCAGACCTTTTTCCCCGCTTCTTCTATCAGTTACTGCATCATTCCTCAGCTAAACATGGATGCTCATTCTTGAGCATGAATGCACAATGGAGAAGAGCAAAGGGTTGCTTCACTCTTCTCCATTGTGAACTTGGAATCAGGGACCCCCAAGAGTTGTGTCTTTTTTCCAGCTGGGGTTTAGCACTAATCTTGCATTTGCTGACTAACAAACATGATCTTTCTGTTGTTCCTCCCCATGGCATGTCCTAAATCCATCCCGGCAGGTAAACCACATCCGAACGAGAGACTTTGACTGCTGTCTGGCCGTTCCCTTGATTTCAGAGGCTGGAGATAAGCTGGACCTGGTGATTAGCCGGAACCCCTTGGCACTGGCTGCCAACGCTCCCTCCGAGGGGAACAGAGAGCTCCTGGCGCAGGTGCCCCGCAGCGCCGAGGTCAAGGCGAGTGTCCAAACGCTCTGAGCAGCAGGAGCAGAGCAGACGATGTCTCTGCTGAGCTCTTGTATTTGGGGTGTTTTTCCTGTTTTTTTGCACTGGTATTTGTAAATGCTCTGTGTTCCATAACCTGCAAGTGGGGAGGTGGGTCTTCAGTGAGCCTGTAGACCGCCAAATATTGCTGGAAAGGTTGGAGCTGGGTGTGTGTCTGGGGCTGTGGCAGTGATGGCAGTGGGACAAACTGCCAATGGGGGGAAGGAGCATCCACAGCCATCCCCCAGGGGCACAGGGCATCCCCCTGTGCTCCTGGCATAGAGTGTGCAGGGTCCTGCCTCTGGCATCCTCCTCACCCTGAAAGGCCTTGGCCATCCTACAAACACACATGGTGCTATTATGTTCTTTGTTTGCTCAGTTAATCATATACAGCAGGACTGAAATGCCTTTCCATTTTCTGTTGTGCCCAGCTCCATCCTTTCAACACTCCTGGTAAATCAATTCCTGCAGCCCCTTGCACTCCCAGTGCAGGGCTGTGGAGAGAGCCGGTTAAAAGACATTTCAAAATGTGCTTGAGAGTGGCTAAATGCAAAAACTGGTATTTGCAGCTGTCTCCTGCCAGCCCTGTCCACACTCCCCGCTAGGTCTGGTTCACCCCGTAGTGGGATTAGGCACCTTGTGTGGCTGATTCCCATGAGCAGTGTTGTAACCTGTGCTCAGTAGTGACTACAGAGTAGAGGCCATATCCAAGGCTAAAGGCCTTGAGTACCTGCCTGAATCCCCCTTGTTTGTCTGAGCTTTGTGGAGATGTCTTGCTTGTAAACCTGGCCCGTGCCTGGAAGTAAATAGTGGGATAGGGAAATTCCCAGGGCTGCCCCGATGTTTTGGATCGATGAAACCTTGCTGTCTCCCCTGAGGCAGAGGCATGACAAGCCCTTGGCTGGGTGAGGGTTGTGTCCTGTGTCCCTGTGGGCTGGGTGGTGTGTGCCCCTTTGCCTCTTGTAGCTCTGCAGCCGCTCCTGCCCGAGAGCCCCTGGCCCCGTGAGGCAGAGGGGCTGTGCTGTTGGCATTGCTTGCCCTGTTTCCCAAATTAGCACTTTATGATGATGTCGGTGTCCTGGTGGCAGCGTGGCTGCGCTTTCCCTGGGAAGGCCTGGGCCATGGAGTCAAAGAGCTCACTCAGTCAGACGTGGCAGCTCCAGAGCCCACTGCCCTGTTCTCTGCTTGCCCTTCCCGTTCCTCCATCCCCACCTGCACGCCCGTGGTGTGTGGAGGGAGTTGGGTGGGTGTACGGCACGCGTGTGTCGCTTTGCTGAGCTTTGTCCCCACCCTGTGTGTCCCCAGCAGCCCCCTGTGTGTGTGACAGCACGGTGTACCCGGCTGTTTCTTCCAGGCACGGCCCCATCCAGCTCTTTGTCCTTGTAGCCATTTTCTCTTTGCTTATGCAATATCCCATACCATTGCTGCCACTAGATAACGTGCCATAATTGATACTGTGGAGCATTGACAGTGCAGCCGAAAGTGTTTTTATATGCAATATTCTGAGCAGTGGAAGCTCACTGGGGCTTCTCATAGGTTTTTAATGAAGACTTTTATTAAAGGCTTTAAAAAAAAAAAAACAAAAAAAAGGAGGAAGAAAAACTTGGTCCTTGTATCCCTTCCTATGCATTTTGAATGATATGAAGATGAAATGCATTACTTAAATGTGTATTTTTATCCATATATTAGAGTGTATTCCTTGTAAAGTATTTTTATATGCTAATTTTCTTATGTATCTATGAAAGCACAATATTTAAAAGTACAGCATTTCAAAGAATATTTTAGTCCTGTTTTGGACCTATTTGTAAATCTCTGTATTTAAATGGGATTGGAATGACTTTGACTTTTTTTTTAAATTAAATAAAAGCAAATTAAATGCATTTGTTTTGGTTTGTGTTGCTTTCTGCTGGAGGACGATAGTGTGGCAATGCTTTGCTTCCAGGAACATTTTAACTTGCCAGGGGCCCCTGTTTCTAAGACACCTTGGAGGACAAGGGGGAGGCCACACGGAGGGTTTTGCTGGGAGGCCACTCTTTGTAGGGCTACCAGTGTAGGGCTGGGGTTGTCCCTTGCCACCCACCATAAACAGCAGGACTTGGGTTGCTCCCCTCCCTGAGCCCACGGAGGCAATTTTGCTGTAGCAGTTAACAGGAAGAGCTGGAGATGCTCGTGCATGTGGTTCCAGCACTGCTTGCAGCTTTTCCACATTGGGAATCTTGGCTGGAAGCTGGGCTGCTCCATGACAAAACACTGACGCAGCAAAGCGCGTGGCAGCCGTGACGTGGCAGCATTTGCAAAGCTGCGGTTAATCCCTGGGGATGGGTTAGAAAACTCCTGGAGAATGATGTGCTGGCAGGAGATGTCCCATCTGGTGCTCAGAACCCTGCAGCTCCAGCGGGGTGCCTCGGGGATCTGCACTGTGGTAGCCAAATAACCCCACCTCTGAAAGCAGACATCCCAAGAAATGACTGCCATGAACCCAGAGCACAATTCTTGTGTCTGTGCAGAGAGGATTTCTCCCCTGTGCTCCCAGTGTGGGCAGCACAGCCTGGAATGTTCCCTGGATAAGGCCATAGGGCAAGCTGGGTTTTGCAACCCTTCATGGCCAAGTGGGTAATGCAGGAATTTTCAGAGACTGAGCAGGGTATAGGAATGCTCCTGGTTTGGGGAATCACTGCCACATAAACAACCCTTATCTTCCATCTCTGGCTGCCCTCCTGGGGCGAAGACTTCAGAGCAGGGCCCTGCAGTGAGGCTGAGGGAGGCACTGGGGCTGCAGGAGGCTGAAGGAGCGCCCATGGGCTGTGAGCCTCGGGGTGTGTGTGCCCAGGGCTGCCCTGTGTGTCCCAGGTAAGAGGCTAGGACAGAGCTGCTCCCCGGGTGTGCCTCAGCACGTCCCCCTGCTGATGCCATTCTCATCCCTGATGATGCTCTGATGGGAGTAGCTGCAGCCCTGAGCAGGTGATGGCCACCAGGGCAGGTAGTTGAAAACCTTCAGCGCTGTCTGGGCTCTTATGAGGCTGCTTAGCCCAGGCATTGCAGGCTGCGCTGATGAGAGGAGAAAACCCTGACAAGGTCCTCAATCACACCCAGCAGAAAAACCAACCAAGCCAAAAACCTCAACTAAAGACAGCTGTGGGACTGGTCCTGGGCATGGGGTGCTGGAGGCTCAGCAGTGATACTCAAATATTTTATTTTCACAAGGAGTAGTCACCTATGTGCTGTTTTTTTCTTTCCCTACCTCAAATCAGGACTTCAGGAATGGACACTCTGGTTTAACTCCATCTGTTTGACTGAAGAGGACATCAGCAAGCTTAAATAACTGGTTCCCATACACCAGAGAAATAAATGCTGGGGTGGGGTTTTTCCTTTCTTTTTCTTCCTTTTGGGCTTTTCTGACATATTTGGACTCTCACAGTAGTGGTACCATGCATGGACTGGGCACTAACTGGTGACACAGTAGTGGTACCATGCATGGACTGGGCACTAACTGGTGAGAAATGGCTTTCTTTTGCATCACTTGGGTTTTTTTATTTTGTTTTTTACCTCTTTGATATGTTTTGTTGTTGTTGTTTTTTTTTCCCCTCACCCCACTTGTTTTGCTACTTGTTAACTTGTATCCCATGAATTTTTGCACTTCTACCCTTCTGATTCTCTCCCCATCCCACTGAATGAGGGGGTGAGTGAGTGGCTGTGTGTGGGGCTGTGCTGCCAACTAGGGTGAAACCACGGCAGATATGAATTTAGATAGTGATTACACATATTATATATATATATATATATATATAGTATTTTATAAGGGCAAAAAACCCCTACACCAACAACCCCAAAATAAGTAGTAGATTTAAAGGAAAAACTGAGCTACTCAAAGACCAAAACAAACCCATCCAAGAGCATAGCTGGTTTACAAAGGAAAGTTTTATTTTCAGTTATAAGGTGATTACAAACTCATCTAAAAAAGCAAAGATGACTTAAAAATATCCATATACATTTTATTTATCTAAAAAGCAAAACAGAAACTGCAAAATACAAACATTTACCATATACACAAAGGCTAGGGGGTTTTAGGATTAAATTACACTCCAGGATTTTTTTCAAATACAAATATTCCGTTTTGGAACACACAAAAAATGTTTTAAAATGTTTTAAAAATATTTTTAAGGTTTTTTTTCTTTAAAAAAAGTTCAGATGACATTTTAAAGGAGGCTGTCATCGCCCTTGCCTCCTTGCTGCATGTGCTACTCATTATCACATTACTGTAGTCACAGTTGCTAGGAATTTAAATAATTAAAAAAACACCGCTGTTTTTTAGCCAAATACATCAAACAAGATGGACCACCTCTTACAATGTGAAGTCCCTGGCAACATTATCAGGTAACAATCACAACATTACACTGGAGAAAAGAATAACATCCTATTGAACAATGAGCACTTCAGAACAGTACTGGGATGCTGCGATGCTGAGAGACCAGCGCTGGCTTCCAGGACAGGAGCAGGCCATGAACTAACTCAGCTTGCCCCCTCAGGTTTTTTGTTTTTTTTTTTTTTATCAGCCTCTCAACATAATTTTGCCACTGTTTGGTTTTCTTTTTTTTAATTTTTTTTTTCTTTATATATTGAAAAAAACTTCAACTCTTTCTAACATCTCAGCTGCAGAAGCAGGTACATTTAGGAACACTGTGTATCGTGCTCACCGTGCTACAGGGCTGAAGCCTTCCCCCACAAATGCACACACACAGAGCACGTGCACAGCTCCTTAGCATCATTGAGGTTTATTTTTTTCTTTCTTTTTAATAGCTTTATTTTTCCCAGTATTTCTTCTGATTTCTCAAGCCAGGCCAGGTGTTCCCTGTGCTGCAAATGTGAAAGTGAGCAGCACCATCCTGCTGTGCACTGCAGAGCCACAGGGAACAAGCCTCCCAAACTTGCCCCTTCAAAATTATCTTCAATTTACTTTACTCCTAAAGCTTGTGGTAATTAAATTCTGACACTTTTACTGATTATTTCAAATGAGGACACAGCAGCAATACAAAAAGGCTGTGTCTGCCATTCAGTTGGCCAGCATTACCAGCAGGGTCAGGCTCTTTTCCAGGCACAAACCCTGTCACCAAAGTTTTCCATCTTTGATGGGGATGGGTGGGTGATTTGTTTTCTTAAAATTTTCAACCTGCAAAATTTTGAGCTTGTCCCTCTTTTTGGTGAAATGGTGTCTCAAGCTATTTCTGCTCTTGTTTTAGGATATGGGTAAATTGAAATCACCAATTCCCAATGACAACTGGAAAAAAACCACACAAAGAATGTGACTTTTTCTGTTTATTTTTTTAATAGAAACAAACAAATTGGATTTTTTTTTTTTCCCAGGGAAGCATTGTCCATGTACACTTTTTTTTTGGGGCTGGCAGAAAAGAGCTGCAATCTGGTGGAGGGTGTGGGGCTGGATCTGGCAGTTTTCCAGTGGGTGCTGGCGCTGGTTATATTCAAGTATCTCTTGAACAATCTCTCCCATAGACTCAAATTGACTGCTAACACCATAAGAAAATTTCTGTGACCAAAATATGGAGCTCAGGGCACCTCTTTTGCACTAGTTCAAGGGTTTCTTAAATGTCAAGTGTCACCAAATCAATTAGGTTCTTTGTTTCTAAGCTTATCTTTGATTAGAAGAAACAAAACAAGCTACCAGGGTCTGACAGTTCCTGACCTTTGCTCATGCAAATATACAAATACACAACGACACATCAATCCTAACCACAAGGCTTTGGATGTTGATTTCGGAGAAAACAAGTCCAGGGCAGCTGCCTGAACCCACACCACACCCAACCTCCCATGCCAGGAGCCATGTGGTGCCTACAAGGAGAGCTTACAAACTGAACCTTAAGGCTTCTTTGGAGGGGCCATGGTCCAGGATTTTGTTATTACTTTCCCTCTTCCACCACCCCCATTTAGGAAAGACCATTTGGACACCCTGGCAGGTTGGCTCTTTGCAGGCAAGTGGTGCCTAAACCTCCTCAATCCTCATCCTGAACAGCTTGGCAAGATTTACACACATGATTTGCAGCCTAGGAATAGAAGCAATGTCCCCACTGTGTGCGTGCATATGAGGGTGGAAGATTTCATCTACTAGTCTACTTAAACACAGATTTATTTTTTATTCTTTTTACTGAAAGTATGCAACTTCCATTGAATCTCCTTGGAAATGATGTCAGGGTCATCTTTCTTCCAAGTGTACTTGAGCTGCTTAACTAACTTGTCCACTGCATTCAATGCACAGCTTATTTAACATTTTATATACATTATACCTCCATGAGTGATCCTGCAGAGACCACAAGACATGGAAGCTAATAATCAGTTATTCAAAAGTGTTCAAATCCTTCTCCCACAGCTGGAAGTTTGCCAGTGATGCAACAGGTGGGAGCTTTGAACCCAAGTGCGACAAGCACAACCTCAACAAAACTGAAAGTCTCCGTAGCAAATAAAAACAGACCAGGAGGAGACTTGGAAAAGATCTATTGAATGGAGATGTCCATGTGTCTTCAGATCTACTTGAGTTATCTAACACTGAGACAAAGAAGAGGAACCAGGAGCATCTGCAGTTGGGAAAGGAGGATGAAGACAGGACTGGAAAGAGCTGCAGGAGGTGCTGTCCTGGTGGTGACAATAAAAGCTCTGCTCTTGTTGTTGGGGTTTTTGGTGTTACAGCAACTGTAAGGCTGCACTATATTTTTTCCCCCTACTTTTTCTCATATCCTCCTCTCCCCAAGAACAGCAGTGAATATCAGTTTTGGTGAGCTGTTGCAGCAGATCATACCCAACTCCCCTCCACCCCTAATTCCAGGAGCTGTGCTGCTGCTGTGGGGTGGCCACCAGCACTGCTCTAGACAGC